TAGTTTGTCATAATAAATGTATAATAAACATAAAGGTGTGGTACAGTATAAACAAATTATAACAATCTATTAATATAACTTATTACTAAGAAGGAAACAAAGCAACCTAGAACTATGTTGCCACACTGATACTATCATGAAGGACAGACAAAACACCCAAGATATTAGATAAGTGAAAAATGTTTCAATGTATTTCTTTAAAAAATAAATTCTTATATTTTCTAAAAGAAGGAGAAATATTATTTGACAGCTGCGTAGCTTTAGGAAATACATTGAGTTCATATCTCTATATGGCATAGACTCATTCAAAATCCATCATAAAAAGTCATGTTGTGTTCTGGATCATTTCTGACATTTCAAAGCAAAAGAATATATCTGAAACTGCACTGCAGAGTGGAAATTACATTTAAAACATAATGTCAACTCTCAATATTTAGTATTCAAGACGCACATCACTTGAGAATTGGAAAGTGTTTACAAATTTTAAGCTAGACTCCAGATAGATTCTCTCCCTTAAAGTGCCCCTGTATTTCTTTGAGCACAAACAGGCCAGCTCCTTTCAGACCGTGCTCTTGGCTGCGTTCAGAGTCGCTGTGACTTGCATTATAGTGAGATGTCGAACCCACTCACACCAGAGAGACAACTACAATACTATCACCACCTTCAAGTGTCCGACCAGAAGCTAAGAGGACACATTCAAATGAATACATGCTCAATTAGCCTGTCTTCCAGTGAATATTGATGTAAAAAATAAATATTACAAACAAACATGAGAGATATGAAACATACACAACGTTATTTTAGTTTGATCTTCATTGCTGTATGTGGGGCAATCACACACTATGGGGGATCCATGACTGGCTGCTTAATCCATTATTTGGATCATAAGAATTATTGATATTAATTAAAAAGTCAAAAATCATAGTTACAATGGCCTTATTTGTTTATTAGTAATGTTTGATTCTACATGTTCAAAAGTCACCTCAGATTAGAGTGGCTTTGCTCAGGTCTTTGCACTAGCAGGGACATGTTTGAGCGGTTAAGGGCTGAATAAGTAACATATGACACATTATACTAACTTCTTCAGTGTTTCATTCTCCAATTCATGTTTTGCAGCTCATTTTAATTGTATTCTACATTTAGAAGAAAGTTTACTGAGATTATCTTATCATTAGCATTATTGTCTCAGTGGCCACACATTATTGTTTACTGTGATATTTTCTGCAGCAATATATCACATGTCAAAATGTGTTATCATAAACAGACAGCAGAGTGGGCACTGATATATTTCAGATTATTAATATTTCTTAATTTTGACAGGTCAATAGGAAGTGTGAAATGGGGGTGAAGAGTGGGAGAGACATTCATCAATATATCAGACCTGGGAAACATTCTAACTACACTAATGCCACCACAGAATCTCGCATGTCCAAAAATCAAAGCCCTATGGCATATTGCAGAACAGGGCCAGTGCAGCCTGGACATTTTCAGGGCAAATCATTTATACATTTGCCTGTTTAGCTGCTGATAGGCCCAGTATAAATGCATTTGAGCCTCCAATAAAGAAAATGCTGGTGTTTGTGCTCAGTGAGGGGTCTACAACAGAGGACCCTGCACCAGCGCCTCATTTACATTTCAAACACTGTCTATAACTGCAAGGGATTTGATGTTTTCCCTGTGTGCTCAGCAGTCTTCAGCCTCCCCAGCTAATTCTCCAGCAGAAATAATGTCTGTCTGTATATGCTTCGGCCAGCTCGCCTCTCCTCTCCGCCTCGTCTCTCCTTGCTGCCTTTGCCGAGGTCTGCTTCCATATAGTGCCAGTACCATAAGGCAACACAAAGGCTCAATCTTCACCCGGAGCTCAAAGCCAGGATGCTGACGGAGACGCCTTTATCATGTGCGCATTTGAAGACACTCTCTTTGTGAATGTGCCTTCTGTAGGCTCCTCAACACTGCTTCCCTCATGTTTATTACATATAAGAGATGAATGTCAAGTTACGGTTATCTTGAAACATTCTGATCACCATTGTGACCATTGTTGACCCAGGAATGAGAATAAATCCATAGTTCTTATTTTATTTTATTTATTTTTTTACCTTCACCCTGTATACTTTATTCAATAAAAGGCTGGTAAGCAGCATTAAATTATTACCAACAATTTGAAGCAGAGAAGCAGGACACCTCGCATGTGCCGACCAAACCCTGCTGTCGGACCCTGTCAATTTTAGTCACACAATCTTATGGTTTATCATCTATATAAGGGTATAATTCTTCTGACAGAGGGTCCTCCACCTGCTCGTCTCCATGGAAATGTTAATTCTCCTCCTTCCAGACTATGGCATTAAACTTAGCTCCATGGGAACAAGCAACAAGGAAAATTACAGGTCTGATCTGTAGAGAGGCAAGTCCGTTTATTGTTTCCATCTATTTTTTTTAGCAATACACAATCTTTTGACATAAAGTAACTTCCATACATTTGTTTGTTTAAAAATATTTAGTATACCAGACATTGTTGCTCCAAAAATTCAGTCCATCTGTGAAATCTATAATCAGGATTATTAAAATATAAGAATAGACTTAGTACTGGCTAGGGCTGCACGATTTGGGGGAAAAAATGCATTGCAATTAGATTTGTGATTTATGTTTATATACAAAGTTAATATTTTAAATGACAAGAATCCAGAAGTACAGAAATATGGACTGACATACTAATACAAGAAACACATTTCAGAACATGTTTGTACAGATCTAAACTGGTTAGCAGTTTTTATGCAGAATAAGACACGATGTTTTGTTGTTTGTGGACAACATTATGGTACTTTAAAGAATTACCTTTGTAATTTGCAAATTGCCTCCATTCAAATCTTATTGCAATTAATCTAGCAGCCTAAGTACTGACATCCCAACACATAAGTTTGTCTCACTGTGTTCACTGGAGCCTTGTTTCTGTGGAGAGAGTAAACACACATTGTTTGTTTCCATAATCAGCACTGATCACCTGAGGCCCAGAGAGCAGCCAGCAGCACTTTGAGACTCCAGTGTTTAAACCTATAGACTCCATCAGGAAGAGCCAGCTCCCTCACAAGACCACAACGTGAGACAGGATAAAGATTGTGATGCATGTGTATGCTGTACTAGGACTGTAGGCCTTTAGTCATTTAGAAGATTAAATGGGTGATGCTGTCTTAGTCAACTAAAATTTCGTCAGCTAATTGGGTATTTTATAGTATTTATATGTCAGCACAACAGATTAAACTGCTGATTTATATGTTTAATCTGTCTTTATTTAAATACACAGTTTCCTAGTTTTTTTCTGGATAAACATGTTTTTGCAGGAACCCCATTGCAGGTGTAGTCTTGTGAGTGCAGTTAGGGTCAGATACATTGCGATTCTGAATAGTATCTTTTGCTCCTTTTTACTCGACTAATAAATTGGAAACACATGTCTTTAGTCGAACATGAATTCTTTAGTCAACTACAGCCTTAAGGTGTACAATCAATAAAATATTGTTATCACCACAGCAGCCAACACAACATCCTTGAAACTATATAATGTAAAGGTCTTCCATTTGATATGATTCCCTATTACTTCCTAAAATAAAAATGTGATGTCTCATTCCATTAGTCTTGTTTTGGGCTTGATTTATTCAACATTTTCTTATTTGAAAAATAAAAATGAATAAATGAATAGAAAGAATATACATTTTACTAGTAGTTCCAAGTGAATGAGTGGTACACCAAAACAGTCTATAGCTAATAAACTGTGGGTTATGGTCATCATTGTAATATTCAACATAGCTATTGAATATTGTATTATTTTTCTCATATCATGCAGGACTATATTCCAGCGGGCCCTACAGTAATGTGCATGTCTGAGTATGACGACTGTGGTTGGAATGAGAAATGCCCTGACACAGATATGTCAGCCCAGGCCTAAAGAGGGACTATGAGAGCCATGCGAGGTATAAGAGAAATCATACGCAATCTATATGCACGGAAAACTAAACAAAGGAATACAAAGAAAGGAACAACAGATAACAAGAGGAGCTGTAACGAAGTCCAAATAACATACAATGTTGTCAGGGTATTCACCTGACTGCAAGATATTTATTACAAGATTATGGAGAGCCTATGTAAAGTAGGAAACTTGTTTTTTGTTGTTGTTGTAGTTGTAGTTTGTTATTTATTTATATATTATATATTATATATTTATTTTTATCTATAAATACCCTTATGTACTTTCATTACTGTCCTTTCACAAAGGATTAAGAGTGCTTTTGGTTTTACTTAGAGCACAGTTTAGTCTTGGTCCTAGTCCTGGTTTAGTCCTGGTCTGCTGCAAGTTTAGTGCAGGTTTAAACCCAAGTGTGAATTAGCATCCTAAAATTTTGCAGGTGTTTAATAATAGCAATTTCCTTATAACACCTGCAGTGAAGGGCCAGGTAGTTCCTTTTTCTCATTACAGAGTGCTTTAGCCATAAGGGTTTGCATAATAATACACTCTAAAAGTCTACAATATTATTAGGCAATTTTATTGGTTAAATCTCTACAGATTAGCCAACAAAATCCATACATTATAACCAATTAACCTTAATCTAACATTAAAAATTATAGCATGTATACAGAAGGCCATTAAAGACTACATCATAACTGCGATATCAACTAGTCAACTTGGCCTACATTTTAGGAAACTTTTACTGAAAAAATGTGTCAGACAAAATGCTGTAAGAGATAAGATTACATTGTACATTATATCTACATTGTACTAAAATTTTACATATTTTAGATAAAAGAAAAGTAACTTTGACATTAGATAAGACACACCTTCGAGAATAGTAGGCTAAGTGACGAATAGCCAGACTATATTGTCAGTGCTAATATAGTAATGATCTGCTGCTAAGGGGAGCAATGTAAACAGTAATGTGTGATGCACTGTTGGGAAAACTCCCTTAATAGGAGAGAAAGCAGTAAGGTCATGATTAGTTGTGGCTATCACTGACCACCAGCTATGCTCCGATCCTCTGGGACTCACCTGCAATGTATTATAGGAGTGAAAATAGAGTTGGAGTTATTACCACTAAATAATTGAAGTATATATCTACCCTATGGGCCAGTGGGTGAAATAACGCAGCAATGCTATTAGCCATGGTGTGGAGACTTGGACCACGGCGCTGCTGCTGGCTCTTTGTGTTGACATGAGACTGCCCAGTGTAATACATGCGGTGTGTGCGTCATTAGCTCCGACCCGATCACTTCAAACACTCGTGTCTCCGCTGCGCACAGGACACTGACTGTAATAATGAGCAGGTGCCAAGAGCGTGCTGCTAACATGGCACCATTACGCACACGTTTACCGACCATTCACTGTCCACACACGCTGCAAAACACGCTGTCTTCGTAATTAGCACGTCAGCTACAGTAACAAGCTAATAATAAGGTAATAAGGTAAATGGCTACTCACCTCCTGGTCCATGGATTTGAAGAAGAATTTGTAGCTATTAACCGGTCGGTTGTTGAGGACATTTTTAAAATCCGCTAAGGTGACTTTCTCCGGTGCTACAGATAGTTTGACAAGATACGGAGTTTCCTCCTCGTCTATATGATATATTATTTTAGTCTCCGCCATGAGAGTGCTGAGAGGACAGTCATTGACACAGAGAAGGAACAAGGGTTGGCAGCGCAATAAACAGGCCTGCTACGATCCCAGCTACCCGTACAATAACATCGGAGCATTGGCTAATAAACCCAGCTGTGAGACCTGCGCGAAGAAATGAGAGTCCGCGACAATCCGCACATAATCGCGGCGTTGTGGCTGCATGTATTCCCTCTCCGCTGTGAGTCGCTACGGTGGCTCTCTCAGCACTAAAACAGGAAGGGACAGTCCACATCCTTGCGATATGGAGTTGGGAATATAGCTATTTTTCACGGGCTAATTGGTTAGACAGTGCTGTCATCTAGTGGCGTGCCTGGGCTGTGCGCGCAACACATGCACATGTTTGCTGCTGTGGGCTAATGTAAGAGTCTGGATAAGCCAATAAATAAAAACTAGGCCCTTTCTTCTGTCAATACAACTAGTTAAAACGTTAATTAATATTGTACATAATTGTACATAATAGTAAAAATAACAATAATAATGGTATTCTGGTCAAAAAGCAAATTTATGGTAAGGCTATGAGAGTAATATTGCCAATAACAGCACCTGCAAATGTTATAGATAGATAGATAGATAGATAGATGGAGAGAGAGAGAGAGAGAGAGATAGAGATAGATAGATAGAGAGAGAGAGAGAGAGAGAGAGAGAGAGAGAGAGATAGAGAGAGATCGGTTTTGTTTGCCTAATTAAAAGATAAAAGCCTATTATGATGACTAATCTGTATTTAAAATGCTTGTTTAAAATGCCATATATGTTTGGGGTTTCAGAAAAAAAGGCTGTAATATTAAGCATTTTTATTTAATCAGACCAGCAGAATAAGCTTCTCTGTGAGAGACAGTACACTATGAAGGTTAAGAATTATGACTGCATTTTAATATCAGTCACCTCTTTAGTAGACAGCCTGTAACAACTTCTTAGTATAAATCATAAAGCCAATGAAAAAGCTAAAAAGTCAGTGTTTAAAAATTATATAGGTTAATGTAAGCGCTCAAAAGCACAACATGGTCCAATAACAGGTGATAAAATGTTTGGATAATTCTTTCCTGAGATTCAGTTAACTGTGCCTTTAGTCCTTTCAGAAAAAGTATAATTGAAATACAGCCTAAGAGACATACTTTTACCAAACATCCCTGTTATCAAAACAATAGCAGTGTAATGAATGACCATATGGAAAATGTAATGTTTTGATACAGTACTGCAGTTATTGTGCAAAAATAGGTCACTTATAGCATGCACAATACACAAAATTTATAAGTAACATGCATTCAATAAAAAGAAACCACATATTATTAGTATGAAAATGCATGGTTACTCATTGGCTTAACTATATACATTTGGTTAGAACAGCTGCTGAAAGGTAGCTATTATACATGAACAAAGGCATTATGGTGTCTAGTGTTAGAGCTACAGCAGGGGGCGCTGTCCTTCTGTCCTTTTAGTCTCCCTTTGGTCTTCAACTTCTCTGTTGTTTGCTCTGGACCTGCCAGCAGCACTGCACAAACAGCTCACTCACTTCCACAGCTTCGCTTCAAAGTCTGTGTGGAAAAAGAGGAGTTGTACAATTACGTGTCTTCTTAAAATTACTTGTTTAGTTGTGGTGACTCACATCGAAATCAGACTCACCTCTATTGCAGTCTTTGGCCATCCCTCGTTCTTTCAGGAGGTTGTTTTTGTATTCTGCATAAGGAAAAGGTAAAATGTAAGCACAATTAATTTTGCAGTAAGTTTCCTGTTACTATAACATCATGTAATTAGGTGGAAGTAAAGTTAAGAGAATTATATCTTTTTTAATAATTATCAGTTATAATGCTGTTATAATGGTTATTTCATTCACAGAATATTTTCGCCTGTGAATACCAAGGCAAATGTGGCCAAAGTTTGAAATACTTGACTCCAATATAGGACCTTTGTGTTCACACTTTTTAGTTCTGGTTTGTGCCTACTTTGAGTTTTAATGTCTAGTCCTGATTTATTTTATCTTTGCGCAAAAATCTATTCTCCAATTTGAAGGAGTATTATAGTTGTATTATTTTGAAAACTAACACAAGTCTCATAATTGCTGAGTGAGTAGTTCTCCCACTGGTCATGAAATGTCAAGGTTGTGTGAGTGAAGCTGACACTACCTGAGTTTGAAGGCTCCTGGCTACAAGTCGACAGCTCAGTGCAATCCAGTGAAATTTCACCAGCATTTGCTATATTGCTCCTGCACATGAGAAAGTTTCACATTAACTCTTTAGTCTTTTTTAGCAATGGCTTCCTAATAAATGCCAATGTCCCTTACCTTTCATATCTGTAAATGTCATACTCCAGTACTAAAAAGAGAAAAACAGACACATAACAACTAGTCATTATTGTGTAATTAGCTTGTGAATCTCACCTCTCTTTTTGCGTCGCCTTGTGAGCACAATTACAGCTATAGCGATGAGAGCCAGCAGTAAGAACGTGGCCAGGAAGTAACCCAGATGTTGGACAAAATATCCTTTCTGTTCTGGAAGAATCACATTCACAACTCTCGGGACATCGTCTTCAATCCCTGTAAAATAAATATTTACTTAAAGAAGTCTCCTCTTACTCTCTCTCTCTCTCTGTCTCTCTCTGTCTCTCTCTCTCTCTCTCTCTCTCTCTCTCTCTCGCTATATGTATTATTATTATTTTTTATTTTTTTTTAAATAATGGATAATAATGGATTTTCACTTTCTGTCTTCCTCATCATCTACAGCATATCAGTGTTAAAGCTTTATGTTGTTGTATTTATCTACACCTGGGACAGGCACAAGCAGTAAACTCACTCTTGTTGTGGTAAGCACTATTGCCTTACAGAAAAAAGGTCCTGGGCATCATGTGGGTGTTCCAGTTTCCACTATCAACCAAAAAAATTTAGACCACTCCCCAAACAGGTACTAGTGACCAAGAAAGGTCCCCTGGCACTGCGGTTAGCCACTGCTCCAGAGGGATGAGGCAAATGCAGTGGGAAGATTTTTTCCTTGTAGTTTCCGCAAGTATACCTTAACCTTAAATTTGCCCTATGTCCCGTGATCATTGTCATAACACATTTTAACGCAGTGACTTTTAAAAAACACTTAATAATTTCTCCCTGGGGTATCTTCTTTTTCATTTGGCTGTAAATGCCAGAGACAGGATGAAGGGCAGAAGTTAAATGTCAAAAAGCTGCTCTGTGAAATGGCTTCCAGACCTGATGTCATGCAGCTGTTATTTTTTCTCCTCAGTAAAAAACACAGACTGACCAGAAATGAGAAGTGTGAGACAAACACTGTAATGTGGTCGCTCTGTCTCAGTGCTTTTTCCAGTAGGGACTTTTTAATACGCGCAAAAACACTGGAGGTTTGAAAGCATGGAAAAGTACTCATGACACACGTTTGGGAACTGGTCACAAAGGAACAGACAAGAGAAAGTGTTTTACTGTTACTTCAAAATACTATTACTTAATTAGAAATAACGAGACTCAGCAAAACAGATCACCTTGACTGTATTATAGAAAATAACTTCTTTTCTACCAGTACCGCTAGTATTATTGAAGGTATTATTATTCATTAAATAAAAAAATTGTCAGAGAAGTCTGCAGTTATAGACCTCTCAATCAACATGACCTGAAATGAATGGAATTTTTGTATTAGTTTCACAGTTCATATTAAAGTCTTCTCTCAAATAAATGCTCTTGGATGTATTCAAAATGGTCACTGTGACCTGAATCATAATTTCGAAAGCATAAATCACAAATTAAAAAGCAATTTCATTTAGATTTTTTTTATAAAGCATAAATTCACCAATTGCTATTTTCCATGGCATACTAATAATATACCTAGTTTCTTTAATATCAGCGCCTGGTCTTCACATGGTTCTAATATAGATCCAGACCCAACTCTGAACTATGTGTGATTCATTTCAGTATCAGTCAGTACCTCCAAAATACCTCCTTTTTGTCTGTTTAAATTTTTTGGCTTGAGGTTTGCTAAATATTATTCCACAGAACTCTTATTACTCCCTAATTCTCTGACTAATACATTGGCAAGCAAAACTCCCTACTTAATCTCGTAAAAGTATCCTCTTGCTTTTTACCACAACAACTAATGAAAAACCCATACTTTACTGTAACCCCTACTTTAAATTCATAGTGTTGTTTGGCGCTAATGCTTTACTCCTTAAAATGGCAGTTCTAGCCTTGTTGGTAATTAAGACCTGTCACTTTATAATATGACAAAAAGTCCAAGGTTATTTTGTCCCAAGCTGCTTCCGAATCCTGTTTCTTTCCCTTTGACACATCGGAATGGTTATTTCTGCATAAAGGTGACCCAATCCACACCGCATGCATATCATTTGCAATTCAATGATCCATATACTTGTAAAGATTTCTCAACCTCAAAATGCTGACAGCTTCCAAATTGCTCTCCATCACAGAGAAAATTGTTATCACGCTTTGATTAGTATAGTTTAAATTGCTTTTTTTTGCTTTGGTGAGCATAGAAAAAATAAAAAAGGTTGGCTATAGTTGAAAGCACAGTAAAAGCAATCCACGTGGGCATCTTCTCGCATAGAACTTAATGGGTCAGAATGTGTTTAAAGATGCCCCAAATCTCAGCCCCCTCCTCCCTCACGGTGCTTTCATGTTACAGCTGTCTCCAGATGTTAAACAGATGTACGGCACTTCCTCAACCGGCCTGTAAACATAGTGCTGCTGACTGATAAGACCATAGCACGAAGCCAGAAAAACAGAACCCAAGATACAAGTCTAGACGAGTTTTAAATTGCACAATTTGGGAAAAATGTCTAATTGTAATTTTTTTGTGGGAGACAAGGATTGCAGTTATGATTAGATACGATATTTATGTTTTGAAAATAGGATTCTGTTCAATGTTTCCAATTTAAACACAGAAGAAGAATTGACAAAAAGACCAAAACAGGCTTATGAACTAACTGATAAAACAACAGAACATGATCTAAACTGCGGAGTTAGCAGTTTTTATTGACTTTGACTTAGACTTCAAGGGAAATTATTTGGGCACAGTAGCTCACACATCACAATGAATTAAATAATAAAGAGCAAAAATATAAATGGTAATAAATAAGTAGCAAAATTAACAAAGAGACTGGAATCAAATAAGGCCTAATTATATAAATTATATTAAGCATATTTTGTTGTTTGTTGGTACTACAAAGCATACAACCTCTGCAATTTACTATTTGCGCATATTCAAATCACATTTTTGATTCAACTGCATTTAATCTTGCAGTCCTACAAGGAAAGACTTGAAAATGTACTTTGTAATAAGGTACTTTGTTGTGGTCCTATTTTTAGGATTTAAGATACGGAAATTTAGGAGATAATCATGAGGTTTATCCTCCTTTTAACATATAAATACAAGTTGTAAAATACAAGTTTTGTTTGTTTGTTTTTGCATGAACTCCTGTACAGTTAAAATCTAGTGCAATTTGGGTCAGATGTACAGTATGAGATAAAAGCTTTTGACATCATTGCTACTTCCCTTTAGTCAACTAATCAGTCACAATCAATCAATCACAGTACGTGTCTTTAGTTAATCAAGTTTTCTACTACAACACCTCTCATTCCCCCTCATTTCAATACTAAGAAAAAACTTGACATACAGCCTGATTTTAAATATCCCTGTCATAATTTACATTGACGTGGTCCTATATTCTCTACCTCCATTATAAGGAGGCTGGCATGCAAACAAAATCTGGGCAGTTTCAGGTTAAAATTCCTCCCTTTAGTGCAGGGCTCAGAGCAGTGTAAATTCGACTTTCTCAGGCTGGAGCATTCAGATTGAAAATGACTTCTGGATGGGAGTCAAAACATCTTGATTTCAATAACAGTGTCCAGATGACTACCTTTGAAACCTTCCTACCTCCTTATTATTATTATAACTGCATTCAATTTTCAACAAAAATAATAGTAATGTAATAACCTTGTTGTCCTTTACATAGTCTGGTAAAGATAAATCTGAATTTGTACCTTATATGTTTCTATCTACTCATAATTTATTTTGACATCCCAAGTCTAGACACACACAAGCTAAGTCGTATGTAGGTCAAACAAAGGGCCAAAAACACAAGACCCTCCACACCCAAAAACTATTCCTCTGCTCCAACCAATTAAAATGAAGTGTTTCCAGTGGTAAACAAAGGACTAGTGAAGGGGTCGCAAAAAGTTTATGGGAGAAATAAGACCACAACCATTACAGACAATTTGTGGCTTTTTCTATAGAGCTTACACACACACAGACACACACACACAAATGGCTTCTGTTCCTGTATTTATATTATTTGTTCTTTACTCCTCGATGACTCTCATGCTTTTCTGCTTTCCATCTACATTCCTTCTCCCTCCTCGCTCCTCCTCCTAAACTCAAGCACAAAAACACAGCTTTGGCAAAGAAAGTGAACTGATTTAACTGACCAGCTATGTCTATAAATAATAGTGCAAAAAAGACCCAGGAGAAAAGTATTCTCACATGGGCCAGAGGCGAAAGGTATGGGGGATTTGCAAGGTATGTAGCACCATATAATCAAATGGCTAATGTAGCCTGAATTTGTAATATTGAAGTAGAAATATAGTCTGGTATTTAGGTATTTACACAGGTCTGAAATGCAAAACTCAGTGCTTAAATAATTTGTCTGTCAGTCTGGTCCAGTCCTCTATCAGTCATTTTAAACCACAAACAAACATGGTTGTGCAATTTTTAAGTGAAAAGAAGGAGCTCATTAATCACCCATTATTTTGATGTCAAGTACTGGCCTGTTATGATTGGTTAATATTCACAGCAGTGTGATAATGTGAAAGTGCTCATACCAACAAGTGCTCATACCAACAACTACAAAGACCAAGATCCTTAGCTCTGTTCATGGTTTGTCAGTTGCACTGACATGAAGAATTGCCCATATCAAACCAGGCCAATGTTGTAAATATGAATTTGTTAAGCCTTGTAAAACAAAGGTTGGATAATAAAATAAAACACTTATTTGACATTTCTTGGAACACTGACATTTCAGTAAGGGCTGGTCCCACTTTTTGGTCCAAGTAAATGGATGACTGAGGTGATGAAATGAAAATAAAATGTAATTCACTTTTGTGTATTCACTCTAACGTAATATTGAGCTGTTGTTGTGCTGTCTTACTTGGCTCGGGCAGCTCGTTGCTCTGGAAAGTGGGGCGGGTTGTGGAAGGGTTGGGTGGAAGCGGGGGTCCCACAGTGAGTCTGAAGATGCGCCTCTCCTGGATACCGCAGTAGTGGTGATGAAGGTGGCAGGAGTACAGCCCAATGTCCACCGGCTTCAGCTCAGCGATGGACAGAGAGAAGTCACCCAGTGTGAATGGGTGTTCCTCCAGGCTCATCTTGTTTTGGCTGAAGAGTGGTCCATAATCACGACGTTCCCCTGAGGCGTACAGATCCACCAGGCGTTCGGCTCGGTCCGGACGTACACCTGGAGCCTGGTAATCCCAATGGGCCACCTGCTGCTGGTCTTCCTGTGCTCCCTCTCGCCACAGAGGGCGCCGGTTCACACAGGGCAGCGCCACTGAACTGCCTAATAAGACGACAAACACGGTCTTCTCTCCGTCCCAGTAGCGCTTCTCTTTACGAGCTGAAACAGATCAATAGTTTTCAGATCTTATATTACACTTTGACTCTTGTGAACTTTAAGACATGTTAGAATGTGGTTTCTTCATCAAAAACATACCTAGAGTTGTGTTTTGTTTCATTCAGTTTGAGTAACCCTTTATTATTAGTCTGTCTACATCTCCAGAGCTCAAAATGCTTTGTTCCACTTTTGATGCCATGCAGTGTTTGTGTTAAGTGTTAGTGTTAGTTAACAGTTAACTTTACCTTTAGTTCAGCAGAGATTGGCAATTCTAGAGCTGAAATTATCCAAACCATTATTGTGAAAATGTAGGGAGAAAAAAAACAAAAAAACTAAATGGAGCATTTCCTATATTACAACATTATATCACAAGGTGGAACACAGTGTTTTCTCTTTGAGAGAAGAAATCCTAAATATGCAGTGTTTGTGAGCTAAACATTGTGAATGAAACAAAACACAACTCCAGGCATGTTTTGATGAGGAAACAACATTATAACATAGATCAGAAATGTAATCTAATTTAAGTTATTCAATCTTATTACTTTAACGCTGCTATTACTGCACTTTAAAGTTTTCATATCTTCTTATCTTATGTAGCAAGTGTATTTCAAAAGTAAAGCTTTGACAAGGTCAGAAATAATATGGAAGAAAAATAATAAATACAGGATTATTCACAATAAAGAGATCATTTATTTATTTTAATCAAATGATAATGTTTTTGCCCCTTCGTTCTGAGCACAACTTTGTACTTTATTGTCTTACCTGATTTGGTGACATTGAGCTGGATTTGAATGTTCTGGTGAACCTGGCAGTAGTGATGGTGCAGGTTGCAGGTGTAAACTCCTTTGTCAGTTGTAACCACATCTGTAAATAAAGCACAATTTCAGGAAAGCCGTGACATAGCCCAATAAACTACGTAGTAATTCATATAAATGCACTATGTAGTCCTTCATCCAGTCATTTTAACTATAAACCACTGCAACCCACCACCTCTCACCACAGCAGCAAAACCACCAGCCACCCCAGACATTCCATTTCCTCTTAACTCTGCCATCATCAGTGACTTTCTCTCTCCCTTCATTCCATCTCTGACTCTATCTTTATATTTTCCGTAAACTATTTATTCCTCCTCAAGTCTTTTGTTATATTTCCTCTTCGATATTATATTGAAATGTGTGAGCTGTGTGTAAGTAATTTCCCTTCAATACAGTTTCTCAAAGTTTGTCTGTGCTGTTTCTCTTCTCTGCTCATAGAAAAGTTTATCTTACTGTGGATTATGAGAGAGAAGTTCCCATCATTAAAAGCCGTTTCAGATATGGAGATGCGTCCCTTGTTGAAGCTGTTGTAGACTCTCTGTCTGGCTCCAGGGGACATGTCCAGCACCCTCTCCACTGAATACTCTGGACTGCTGCGTACCACGTCCCAGTGAACCACGCGCTGTCGGTCCTTCAGCCTGTCCCGGGTCCACACCATCCGAGGGCTGCGGCAGGGGAGTATCGCCCGGGAGCCAGCAGGGAGGGTGATGTTCCGCGCCTCCACTACCGCACCAAGCCGGGAGCTACTGCCCTGACTTAGCACTGGGAATAGAGAAATTGACAGATCAGTGGTGAGTTTCTTGATGTAAACTGTTTTTACTGGGTTGAAGTTAAAAAGCATCATATAAAAATGTTGCAATATCGTACAAACCTAAACATGAACACCTCAATAAACATTAACACTTGAGAGAACACTTCAGAAAAAAAAACAAGGTAAGTAGTTTCTGAAGGCTACATAGAAGGAGGAGTATGCACAGATATTTTATTTTTTGCAGAGAACATACAGTATTTTACATGAGTAACTGCTCTATATCATGGAAAATGGCACAATTAGCATGGTTAACTTCAGGTTTTGTTGTGTTGTAAAAAAATTTCAATTAAAAAGATTAGGTTCAACATATGTGAAAGTACTTTTTGAATAGTTCTTAAAGTGCCATAATTGATACTGATTTAAAATGTAAATTAAACTGGTTCTTACTCCTCAAATTTAGTCAGAAAACATAGCTATGGATTACTATAATATGAGAAAAGTGGCGAGTTCTGTAGTGTGGGTGTGTTACCTTGTGGCAGGAAGAGCACCGCAAAAACTGGAAGAGAAAAAGGAAAACACAAATCACTTTACTCAATAACAAACCTAACTAAATTTAAAACAAATATTAAAGTGGATGAATACATTCTGTCATATCAGTTGAAATTGGAGAGTTATTGTCTGTTCTCAAGTGCCCCACAGGAAAAGTGTTTATAGCGTTTCAAAGTTACAGCAGCACCCATGTGTCTCTCCTCTTATGAAACAAACAGAAAGGTTTCGGAAAGTGCATTTGCTATTAATATACTTTTTCCCACATTGCTAATTTGCTGTTTGTTGACTTAAAGGCGAGAGACACAGCTGAGGCTCACAAAGTTTCTATTCATCATCATAACTGCTCCTGGATCCTGCAGAAAGGAAGACGTATTCAACCGTTCAAACTTCCACGATGATGCTCCAAGATATGCACCTGTTTTTTATGCTTTTAATGCTGTAACTAAGTGGCTTTTGGATATTAAGGAAATACACAGCTTACAGTACAGATAGGGCTATCATTACTGTACTGAATAAGCAACTAAAGTTTCACAGATATATAGAGGACAAACACAAAAAGTAAGTGCTTCAAGTGAATAAGATGGTATTTCTCAAAATATACTGGAAATGTAGCATTGTCTAGATGTTACAGTCACTGAGACATGCAGGTGACGCAAGTGTAAATACAATTTTTGCAAACCATCCTTTATGTGACCTTTACATTGATGGCAAAGTAAATCTTCAATATATTCTGCACACATTCAGAAAATGTCTCTATCTGGAAAACTTTGGTGGTTTTCTCTTGGAGAGCATTTCTTCAAGTGGAAGGTAAAACAAAGTATCCAAGACCCTGTAATTTAGTCTCATTTCTTCTCCAGGCGCGCTCTGAGTGGCTGGTGACTCAAGGCTGAACTAATGCTGACGACTTAACAATGTGCTATTGAGCTACGCTGCATAATAACACACATTTAACCAATTACCTGCACAAGCAGTGTTGTTATTTAAATCCTGTGAATCACTTTGCACTTACATAAACAGGCTATCACATAGGGTAGTTAAAACAAATGTATTCTATGTCTTCTGAGCTTTACCCCTTGTAATAATATTGTTATTTCATCAAAAACATACCCGGAGTTGTGTTTTGTTTCATTCATACACTGTGGTTAATTAGTCTGTTTACATCTCCGAAGATGAAAGTGTTCTGTTGCACCTTATGATGTCATTTAGTGGTAGATTTCAAGTTAACAGCTACCTTTCCAGGGCTGAAATGATCCAAATGATTCTAATGAAGATTAGGTTCAAAAACACAGTGGAACTCTTCCTGTAGGTGGAAGGTGGAACAGAGTGTTTTCTGGGTGAGAGAATTCAGCTTAAATATGCAGGATTTGTGTGTTAAACATTTATGAATGAAACAAAACACAACTCCATGTATGTTACTGATTAGGAAAATTTTTACATTATAAGTCCCAGTTTATTTATGGCCTGGCCCTGCTTTACGCTTTGTTACTCTCTTTTAAGCATCAATTTTGCATGTCTGTGGTTTCATAGCAAAAGAAGTTTAGAAGAAGAAAGAAATGTAATTCTCAATGGGACAGATGTGCACTTAACATTCACTCAGCAGCTTTTCTTTTCTAATTTATGATGAATTTGGGGGAAATGCAAGGTTTACTCACAGTTTACTCACAGTTTAGTCACAGTTTAGTCACAGTACAGACTTGTCCATGTGCAGAATCATCAAAATCTACAAAGACCAATTGAAAGCCCTGGGGACTCTCTATAAACATAAAGAGGTTCTGTTTTACTGCCTCTACATAACAAGTTTAACCATTTACCAATATTTACTGACACTGCTGCTACTGTTTAAATGTGAAAAGTCAAACATTTCAATACAATGAGGCAATGGTAGTCATTTTGGCGTTTAGCCTATATTCAACCTATTGACCCTTATAATTATGAGAGTAGCCAATCATAAAGGTGTACAGGGTGGTAATTGCCTCCTCCTCCTCCACGTGGAGCTGAATCAAAGCAGACCTCTCGCGGTGAAACGTTCATTACGCACACACACAGGCCTATATACTGTAATGAGGGGCTTCAGGATTGTGCTGACTCCTAAACTCAAACCGCGTTTAACTGGAAACATATTGGTCCCGTGCCACAAAGACCCTACACGAACAACACAACAGGCAAGAAAAAGCCTGCAAACTTCCACACCTTTAATGCAATACTGTGTTACATGTAACCAGGCAAAACACAAGTAATAAAGTAGCCAAGATTGTTAATTAAATAATAATAATAATAATTCAAAAAACTTCTTCTCTATAGACAATAACATTGATGATGCAATGACATTCATATTTAATTCAAAATAATAGTTATTATTAAATTATTAAAATGTGTGTTTGTAAGTGTTTTCACGATTGATAACCCTGCTTGGAGTTAAAGTGTCTGCAAAATTGTCACATAACAACATTCTGCAATAATCTTAAACTTTTCTGCCACACTTTAAACACGAATCTATAGGCTAAATGCACATCTTTACAAGTGTTTGCAATCTTTTCAGAAAACTTACTTGAGAGAAACGTCATGTCGAGTAGCATTTTCGGTTGTTCGGGTGAGACAGCCGCGGTGCAGGAGAAACACCGGAGAAACAAAGCGGCTCCGTTGAGCGAACAGCAGTCCAGCTGTGTTTTGTTTTATCCCCGCAGCCTCGAGTCTGCACGCTCCGCCCCTTCACCGATGAAATCCAACACGGGCACAGATTTATTGTGAAAACTGAAAGCTATTAATAATGTTTTACCTGTGTAACTATGACAAAGCTAGTTAATTCCAACTCTTGTTAAAATGGGCTATAAATATTAAAAACACAGTTGTATTAAATCACACTAAGTTGTCTGACTCAATTCCACACACAAGTGGAGGAAAAATGTTTAATAAAAAGCCGTTTTGTTGGTATAAATCAAACTTTCTTCTTGCAGCCATTCTGGTAAAGTTTCCATTAGTGCATGTTTAATTAAGCCAAGATATGTGCTGAAGTTAGTCATGAATACTGCCACCTGCTGTGTTAAATAAAAACTGCAAGAAAACATATATTAGATTAGTTGTTTATTCAACATTATACACCTTGACATAAAATATTTTACAGAATGTGACGTGAGGAAAACGTTTAAAATTAGCTTTTCCCTCAGACAGTGTGTGCAGGTGTTGTTTGCCGTAAATAATCAGTCTTATTTATTTCCATGTTGTTTAATGAAGAGTTTTGGTGCGGTCCATCCCTCTGGGGCAGCTTTTAGTCCAGCTCTTCTACAAATTCTCTTGAGGTCATTTTCAAACTTTTTCTGCAAATCAAAGAAAAAACTTCATTAAAATCTCTGACACTGAATGCAAGATAAAACAAAGATAAATGCAAAATAACATGATCTATTCCACAACTGCTCACCTGTTTCCTTTTGCCTCTGCTCTCAAGCACTTTCCTCCTCACAAACTTCCTCCGCTTTAGCAGCTTTTTGTATTTATGTCGGTTCATTTTTCTTCGTCGAATTTTTAACACATTTCTACAGCTAAGAGGTGTGGCTGACTCACTGTCGTCCTCCAAAACTGGGACAGACCCTGGGGGTAGGACCTTCTCTTCCAACAGTGCTGTCTCCTCCTCGGGCAAAGCAGGCTCCAGTGCTGGGGGGAGGGAGTAACGGAGCGACAGCCAGCTTTCCAGAGGACTCACTGACAGCTTCCGAGGAACCAAAACCTCCTCTAGCTCAGGCTCAAGCTGCACCCATCGTGGAGGTGGTGTGTTGTCTGCTGCTGTAGAATAGCCTCTCTGTTTCAATAAAGAGCAGCAGGCAGGAATGACCCGAGGAAGAGAAGTTTTCAACTGGCTGACATCTACATGAAGTGATCCTGGGTAACAAGAAGAATGTTCAAACGTGTATTACCATTCTGCAAGGCAAAAGATTATATCTGAACAAAACACTAAACATCAGAGTGGACTACTCACCTGTCACTCTATGTAGCAGACCAAGACGAAGTATCAGCTTTGAAGTAAACATCTTAGATGTTGCATGAATGAACCATTCATTAGGAATGGTTACACGTATCCTGTGGAAAAGATTGAATATCTCACATTAGACAATCACTGTTGTTTGAGAGAGTACAATTTTCATTAGCTACAGAAAATTAGACAGCATGTAGCTGCCGGCTACTGCTAGCTGACATTTTAGCTCGGTGTCCGTCCAAACAAAGGTAAAACTCAAAATCACGGATACACAAGTGCTCAAGTAAAGACATCAATTCAAAACACAAATACACGCTGCTAAATAGTACCTTTTATCGTTTTAATTCATGGATAGTTTAAGGCGAACTTCAATGTGACTCCTAATAGAACTTCCGACCTGTGCAACGCCGACAAAATCCCTCTTCCTGTTTCCAAATAGCTCAGAAAGGTTCCGCCATTGGTCTTTTACCTTTAGACTTTTAGACACTAGAAATCACATATAAATAGGGCCGATTAGAAGTTGTCATTACAAATACTTCTTATTTACATTTTGGTTCACGTGCTATTTGTTTTAACAGGCCTGGATACAAATAGTTGATTTAAATAAAATGAAAATATAGCATATATATTATATATAGCATAGCCCATTTGTATTAGGTCCGAGCGCCAGAAGCTGGCGAAGTGAAATTCAATGAAAATTTACGTTTGAGCTATTGAGGCTTGAGGCTATTTCTACCTTCTTTTCATATAGAGTTACACAACGTTGCTTTAAGAATAGACCTACAGTTCTGAGTAAGTTACTCCTGATTTCAAGCTTTATAACTGGTAACAAGTCATGATCCTTTGTCGTAAATGAATTGGTGAGGAGTCCACTGTCTCTGTCCACTCCACGGAGCCGCGTTTGCCACATGGCTCTGTTCCATTATGTAAACACTGAATGAATAAGCTTATCTATTTTGATTAAGATAAGGCATATCTCACCATTATTGTTATTTATCACCTCCAATTATGTATATTTTTATTAAATTAATGGTGATCAAAGTAAAGACATTTCATTTCTACCAGACAAATAGATTTATTGGTATCTCCCCAGATGCGGTTCAGATGATGGGTTATAGTTTTTGTAATAAAAATTAGATTTGAAAAGGTGGCACGTGTTTATCTGTGTCTTTCTTATAACTGCTCAGTTCTTGGCTTTTTAAAGAGGGGGTATTGTGCTAAATCTACTCTTTTAAGACTTCTATGTTATAACGTTGGTCAAAAGCAAACGTGAAGTGGTTTTCTTAAATGTGGTATATTACACAAAATTGATTCCTGTGAGCTTTAAGCTAAATTATAATATTGTTGCATCATCAACAACATACCTGGTGTTGTGTTTTGTTTCATTCACACATGTTTGGGTAATCCTGCATTATTAGTCTATCTCCAAATCTCAAAATGTTCTGTTCCACTTTGTGATGTCATGCAGAGCAGGTAGTTTTCAAGTTAACAGCTACCTTTTATCTTTAGTTCAGTAGAGACTGGCAATTTCAGGTCTGACATCATTCAAATGATTCTAGTGAAGGTGTAACACAGTGGAGCGCTTCCTGTATTACCACATGACATCACAAGGTGTTTTCTATTTGAGAGAAGAGCTCTGAGAAAAGAACTCAGTCAAAATATGCAGATTTGTCTTTTAAACGTGTGAATGAGACAAAATACAACTCCAGGTATTTTTGTAATGAGGAAACAACATTACACCACATCAGAAAATACAGTAATATGGGCCTTTAATCATTTGTGTTTGTTTGAGTGTGTTTGTTTGAAGTTTCTCTCAGTTTCTCTCGCTATTCGAATCCTCCTTTCAGTTAGGTGTATGAGACCACATGACTCCACCTCCACCGCTCTGAATTTTTTATTTTTTAAATTAAACATCTATTCTAAACAAAACTATGAATGCTTGTATTCATCACAAGCTCCTGAAAATCTTCTAACTTTTTTGTCTGCGTTTATAAATGTGTGCATTGTGTTAGCATGGTTACTGCTGAACATTCCATTATTAGAGATGCATGTAGAACACCTCTATGGTTCAACATCAGCGAGAGAATTAATTAATTTGTTTATAAAGAGTAAACAAAAAATGAAAATGACGGGGGACATGAGGGTGGAGGTGCATCCTGGTGGAGGTCTACGGGGTGGGGTCCTCTGGATTGAGCCACTTATCCATCCTGCCACCAATTAACAATTTGAAACAATGCTATTTACTGCTTTTTATACAGAAATCCAATTAATATTATGCAGAATTGAGTTCAGCATTTTGGCCTGACCCTCCAGAAATATTTTCTGTTCCTCATGTGGTCCCATGGAAAAAAATATTTGCCCACCCCTGTACTAGGCCTATTGAATGGTGAATGTCACATATAACAGAAAGCAGAAGCCTGTGAATCAGTCACTCTGCTGTGAAAATGACTGACTGGTAGATTCAACCAATCAAGGGTGAACTTGGAGAAGAAGCAGTTTCAAATTTTTGCCCAACATGGAAATTAGAAGTTAAAACTACAAGCAAACGAAAAAGGATTTATCTGCATTAATACGTCTAGCCTAACAAAGAGGATTTGCTATGACAAAAGACTTATATTAGCTCCCTGGGTAAAGAGTAGCTTTGCGTGGTGCTGTTCAGGATGGTGTCTTTTTGTACAAAGGGATTTAAATGTAAGGTTTGATGTCAGAACTTAATTATGTCTCTTTGATGAACACAATTATCTTTCATGTGCGCCGAGCCTGGGTGAGCTCAGATATCTCAACCTTCGTGAATGAATCCACATCTGAGGCAGCACAACTATCACACAAGTTGATTTTAAACAGTATCATTATTTAGGTAATGATAAAGAGATAAGATTTGCTCAGTGTGAGGAGTTCAAGGGATTTTTACTGTTAAAAACACACAAAAAACTGTTATTAATAACTAGTAGTTAGTTTATAGTGTGTGTAAACTAGTTTCATTGTAGTTAGTTCCTCCCTTCAGGCAGATATAAGGAAGTGTCCACCAGCATTTTGGCCAGAACTGAAGAAGCTTGGATGAGCTGTGAAACATATTTAACCCAATAAACTTTTGTCCAGTTGACAAATTGAATTTCTCCTTTTGCTTTAGTTTATAGTGGGTAGTTTGCATGTCACACCTCTGCTAACAAACTGTATACTAACTAGGGATGGGCATGATTAATCGATTAATCGATAATTGATCATTAAGAATTTCATCGATTACGTTAATTTTAATCGACAAACCGAATGTAGGTTGCTGGGCGTAGCGTGACCAAACAGGGGTCCGTACATGTTGCTCTGCACTCAGAAGGAGCGAGACACAAACAGTCGGTCAGTCTGCAATGTACCGAAGCACAAATGTGTATTTAACGATGATTTGTACAAGAAATTCCACGCTTTCTGTTGCGTTCGGGACAAGTGTGAGTCCTTGTGCACAGTGTACAAAGCAGGAACATATGTTTCAGTGTCCAGTATGAAAAAGCTTTACCAGGTGAGAGTCGCGCAATGTCGATGACGAGTCCCCACCTCCCACCCCCCGTACGGTGTCCTGGTTTTGACAAACGCAAATATGGTCACACTAACCTGTATTCCACTGAGTCATGTCTTTTAATCCGACAGAAGTTGACCGCATCAGCGACACAAGAGCTGTAGTTTTATCTTCGCTGAGTTTATGCAAATTAGCGATGCGGTTTTAAGTTTCGTTTCTGTGAGAGTTGCACAAAAATGAATTAAACACATTATAACCTCAAACGGATTGATGTCTAGAGTCGTTACGGTTTATATGTCGTAAAGTTGAATTTATTTATGCAGATCAGTAGTGCAGATAGTAATAATAATGATGATCATTTTAATATAAAAACGTTAATGATTAATCGATAATCGATCGTTAATTCTTCCAACGATCGATTAAGAAAATTTCATCGAATGCCCATCCCTAATACTAACAATGGAGCTCAACAGTGAGCACTACCAATGCACAGGTCCACCTGTAACCTGCACAAGTAAAGCGGGAGGGATTCAGGTCAGCTTCGATCCAGGTGGCTTTAGTCCCAAACTCTCCGAAAGCTTCTATCGGCACTATGTCCTGTGACTACATAAGCCATTTCAAATGGGTCCTAAAGGGCCCATATTACACTGAGCTATGCTATAATGTAATGCACATGTTCAAACGCCAAAAGCAGCCATTTAAATCCATTATCCTCTCAACTTCTTTTGACATACCGCTAACAGTGGTGTTTAGTACTGATGTTATGAAGTATTAAAGTAATAAAATTACCTTTGACACATCCTGACCACTGCAGACCAGAAGCACTCCACAGGATCTGCAGGTTTGGACATGCTCTGTCATTTTGTGAGAAAAGGTATTATTCTCAGGTTTACTCCTGATTGTTTAGACTTACATAACGAACACAACATTGTGAGGATAAAATGTAAAGTTTCTAACTGTAAGTGGATTTTCGTATCCTCTTTGCATTTACACATAATTGAGTGACTGTACAAAATAAACTATCAATGTCATATGCCATAAAATGCTATTTTATTATTGTGCAATGTGCTGACAGCATAAACCGTCCAGGGTTGTCCAGACTGAAGTAATAGGTTGAGGCTGAAGGACCTGCACATGAACATTATTGTCACAGGTCTGCTTCATAAAGGCATCGAGGGGAATGCCCTATACTGGAATGCCCACAAACTTGAAGGTCTTTATGGGAGGATTCTGCACACTCTAGATGTTAACCTGGTTCTCAGTGACTTAATTGTTTATGACCTGGTTGCCGTGGGCCTGGTGGTGCAGGGCCTGGTTCTGCAGGACCGTGTACCAACAGATGACAGTGGTGGGATAGATTTAGGACACATTTAGAGCTCCAAGATTAAGTAAAATTGAAATGAAATTGCAACTGGAATCGCTACAGTTATCCAAAGACTGCAATTTTTGGTCTACAATGAATTCTTCCACATATACTTTGCAGATATGTCATGCTTGGGTTGTTCTACATGTATGTGCAAGGCAGATTGCTCAGCAGTGAGTAGGGTTATGTTAAGGGTTAGGCCTAGTGTTAGGGTTGGGCTAGGGGTTGGAGTTGTGGTTGGGGTGTAATATCAGTTCAATTTTATTTAATTATATTTTATTCTCTATGGTTAAATAACAAAAACATCCAGTGACTGGTTTACAAACGTGGCCATTAGGCAGCCACATCAAATTGTTTATTCGGGATGTTTCTGGGCAGAAAGGAACCGCATCTGAGCATTTCACAATGAGCATTTTTACAAACCAACTAAATATGGTCGGAATCTACAAGCAGTCTAGGTGCAATAGATTTTAGTGTTTTATTTATTTACAACAAACCCAACAACACATTCATTTCATTGTAAATCTTGCTGTCTATAAAGTACTCTTTTTAATCTTTACACCATCAGCATGTGAGAATAAGGCAACTGAAATCACAACCTCAACAGCTGTTCCCTTTTAGCAATGTGACAAAATACAAAAAAAGACAGAGGAAGTCATACATAAATATACCAATAACCAGGCAGTTTTAGGCCCCTTTTAACTGTCCAGTTTCAGCCTACATATCTTTACTATAAAATCTTTATTTACAATGTCAGTAGTACATATTACAATATTACATGTAAGAGTTACTGCACATAAGGGGATGTGACCATCAAATAGACATTTAATATTACATTATAAATTACTTTGAAGCAACACTCACAGTTTAAGGTGACAAGCTGCCCACTGTGGTCCCTATGAGACACAGTGTACCAGGTGTATCATAAATGCCACTTCTAATAAACAAATAAATAAAAACATACAATTAAATAGACATTAACAATAACTGACAGCAGACAATAAATTGAAATATGTAATTGATCCTTATATTACTTTTTTATCATATTGTACACATAATGTAGTTTCACTGTCTATTTTTTAACACTGATGTTCACTTTTTGGCTTAATTGTGAGAGGTGAACAATTAAAATTATAAACATGCTTTGAAAATGCTTTAAGGCCATTCCATTAGTAATAAATCAAAAGATTTTTGTTAAACAAAAGCCATTTTCATATTATTATTGTTAATATTATCTCATATTCAGTGTTAGGAATAATGGCTCTGTGTTGTATCAATCTCAAGTTTACACTTGCACTGTCCTTCAAACCTGGCTCATATTTTCTTAATAAAACAAAAATGTAAAAAATAACATTGAGTCCGTAGACACATGAGTAGTAAAGAGTGAAAGGAAACAACATTGTGCAAACACTGGGCCGTCCTGGTGCATGATTCACGCCAGCCCTGTCTTCACCGAGCAGCTCCAGAGCGCTGTGCTCCTCCTCTGCTTCCTGCTCCTCACAAGTTCTTTCGTCTTAGACTTCTCTCCCATAAGGGCTGTAACTTGTAATAGGAATGGTCTGAAAAAGAAAAATATTTAAATTATTATTATTATTTTTATTTATATAAATTATTGAAAGTATTATATAGTATATATAAATTATTGTTTGTTTCTTGTGGCATTTAAATTTACCAACTTGATTATGGAAATCCAGGGGAAACCTTTGTGGATAGGACTAACAATTCTGTGACAAAAGGAAAAAAATAATACAGTAAGTAACATGACTCATAATTTTTGCTCTAAAAAGTCATTTGGGGGCACTCACTGATGAGGAGTGATGTTCGTATGGTCGTTCTAGTTTTATACGAATATCTGCTCCCTTCACTCGGTCCGTTTTACCAGGCCCTAAGGAAATAAAAAGTTTCAGAATACACACCAACAGTAGAACTAAGCCTATTTGGGTTTGAAGCTAGAGTTGAAGCCTCACCTGGGGAACTACCTCGGCTGGTGTTGCTAGTGCTGCTGATGCTGTCCTCCAGCCACGTGCTGTAGGTCAGTGAATCTCTCTTGTGTGGAGTTCCAGCAGAAGACAGACTCTCCTATAATAAGCGCAGGTTTGGGTAAGGAGTCATAAAAGATGCATTTAGGGCTGCATGCAGTATTTAGAAATACTGAGGCCCACTGTATTAGATGGAGACTGAGTTAGGGTCATTCTGGCTTTGTTCTGGTGTTTAATTATTCTTTTTTTTCTTTTTATTAGTTTTTTATGAACACATCTGAAAACAGAAAATAACAACAATAACAAAAAATAAAATAACATAAAAACTGTGAAAAGAACTAAAACTAAAAACATATACCATAAAATCCAGACTACTGAGCGCACCTGAATATACGCTGCATCAACTCAATTTTAATAAAATGTTTAAATTTTACATATATAGGCCGCACCTGAATATAAAACGCAGGTGTCCACGTCTTCAAGAATGTTATTAAGTTCAGGCCATCTGCTGCATTTATCGCCTCTGAAAGCTTTTGTCGTCTTTTTGCATTGAGTCAGTTCGTCATGCTGCCGTTGCCAAAATCTCACCATTGACTCATTGATGCCGAGCTCACGCGCAGCAGCTTGATTTCCTTCTTCACCAGCCACATCAGTTGCCGTTAACTTAAAAGCTGCATTATCTGCATTTCTTTGTGTGTTTTCCATGAGTAGGGTATGTGCATGAAGCACAAAATAATTGTTCAAAACACAATCAAATTAGAATCTTCCTCGGCACATCACCCCTGTCTCTCCCCGGCGCGTGACTCTTACAAGAGCTGCTGTCCTGTCTGGTTTCATATCAGTGTCTTGGAGGATTTCAGCAGATTTCAGACTCTCTCGGGAGTGGGGCTAGTTCTATCAATCAGGTATGAGTGGATTTTCGGCTACTGAAGTTTGAGACGTTTCTTCTCATCATTTAACACATACGGGTAAGACGTATCCCCCCTCACTAATGTTAATTTAACATCATAACTTATTTTATCACACAGCAATAAACTATATGAGTGCGCTGACAATATCACTAGCTAGTGTCGCAACTTCATTTTAACCCTAGATCCATGTGTGAACCGCACAGACAGCGGCATTTTTTGCACTCAGGCTGTGCGTATCGGCGATGTTGCCAAACCATAGACTGTATATACGAATGGACAATGTGCCAAACAAAGAATCCAATCATATATTAGCCACATCGTTTTATTAGCCGCAGGGTTCAGTGTGAGAAAAAAGTAGCAGCTTATGGTCAGGAATTTACGGTACGTTGTAAACATATATACACAAATTTCCAATTGTTAAGCTTCCCTAAACCAAAGTCCCAATGTAGCCTTATTTAAAGCAAGGTTTATTGTAAGTCTGTATTATGCTTTGTTATAATAAATATTGTTTTTTTTTGTTTGTTTGTTTATTTGTCTGTAGTTTAAATTTGATTCACTGTTTAGTCCAAACATTGTACCTTATGGTGCTTAGTTGGTGCTTAGTACAGGCCTTACCATCCCAGTATCATAGTCCTCTGTTGCCTCCGTCTCGTTCTCCTCTACCACACTGGCGAAGCTGCTGGCGTTGGAGGAGGAACGGGAGAGGTCATGACCCTCAGCAATGGAAGGAGCCCTGCCACAGAGACAAGAACTATTCATTGTGTTAACTACTTCTTCACTGGCCCAAATTATTATAAATTTTAATGCAAAATTAAACAGATTAAAGCTCAGTTTAATCAGCCTTTATTAACACTATAGTCTAGTCTTTGTATTTCAGATTTTATTATTTAAAGCATTCTGGCTAACACACATCTAAATAAAATGATGTAGATACAAATGCACTGTAGTGCAAATCTAACTATTTGAATTTTTTTTTTTGAGGTGCAAACTATAATATAACATGGTTTCAATCACAAAAATGCAACCTGAGGCAAGATGTGAGAACTTCAACCAAAAGTAGTAGTTTACTTAGAATCACTCACACACCTGTTCTTAGCTGTGTTGAGCACTTCAGGAGAGCTCTGATTGGACGAGTTGTCAGATTTTGGATCTTGGGAGACGTGACCACTGTCAGGAGTCTTCTGTGTGTGTGGTGAACTGTCCCTACTACAGCAGAAATAAAATGCATAATAGAAAATATAGGAACAACATAGAGAGCAGACAGACTCATTACAGAGATGTATCCTACCTCCTCTCTTGGACCTCTTGAATGTTCTCAATACCAATAGCACTGCTTCGTCTGGAACTAAAGGGACCAGACTTTTTCCTGGTTGGACTTTTTCCAGGAATTATCAACGACTGCAATGGACAAAGAGAGCAGAGCATGTTAGCATAATAAAGAAACAGATCTCTTATAATCCCATGTTTATTTTAAGATGAATAAAATGTTAGCTTGAGTGGTAAGAATTTTTTCTCAAAGATTTGAAAAAAAGGTGTGGCCTCTCATTACTGTTACAAAGAAATAAAGTTGTAATTTGCACTTAACGTCTTAATGTCAAGCCCCACTGAGTGTGTTTGAGCCAGAGCAGTATGACGAGGAGATAAAAGGTGATTTTAATGCTTTAAGGACTGACTGCTAAATACGCCTTCACAGTCACTGCTTTGTTCATTCAATCTCCTCCTTATGGCTCTTTCAAAAGGAACTTAAAGAAATACTTCTTCATCAATGTGGATTCAAAGCAGTTACTCTTTTTATATTTTCAAATATTGTGGGGCGACATTAAGTCCTTAGAATTTATAATAAATAATAGGATCAAGCAAGAATGAATCAACATAAAGTCAAGACTGAACAAAAAGAGGCCTAGAATTTTAAGAAGCAGAAAGTCTACAGTCTGTAAAATAAGCACACTAACTAAAAAAATGTGTGTTTATTACCCTTAGCACAAAGCAGACACAATTCAATCAAAACATACCATTAGCATAACAGTGGACAGTTAACGAAAGCGATGATGCTTAAGCCATGCAAACATAGGCAGGCAAAGGAGTATAGTAATGTAGTTAGAATTAGACATGAACCTCTTCTACTGTTCCTATCCCTATGGCACTGCCTCGACGTCCATATTTACTGGGACTTTTGCCTGGGACAAGCAATGACTGAGGCACACGGAGAGGAGAGGGACCACAACACACACACATAGAGAGATGAAGACAGGAGACAAGAGGAGGGAGGGAGGATAAGGGGAAGAGAAACAAATATAAACATGAGTTTTACATGCGGTAAGTCATGTCAGTTCAAATCAAATACAAAAGCATGTGTTAACTGAACAGAGGGACGGACAGTTGGCTCCGTGGGCACAACACAGGCAACTGAAGGGGAGAGAGACACGGTAAGCCATTCAAGTGAGCGCCTGCAGAAAGAGCATGGACACTGTCAGTATGTTATACAGCAAGATCCCACTGAGCTGGACAAAAGAAGAAGTTATTTTTAGTATTAAATAGAGAAAACATGGTTATAGACATGGTCTGTGTTTTTATATCATTGGTCCTTACATGTAGCCCATGCATTTGTGCTACAGAGGTGTGTTAAAATCTATAAAAATGAGAAATCCTGTTGTCTCTTTGTTGTGGTTGGACTTTGATACAACCGTACAAAATACTTTAAGCTAGGGATGCAACAATACTCGATATCACTGTAGTGGCCAAACTGAACCTCTGCCACTGAGATGTGCCCATACACCGTCTGTTATGGGTAATGTGCTTAAGAAAACAGATCCATAAAGGCCTAACTCTGATATATTTAAACAGAGAAGTATAATGTAATTGAATAACGTGTTATGTGATATTTGGCATATAAATAATAGAGGAAACTTTGATCCCTCGAGGCCTAAAATTATATTGTGAGGCATGTATTGAGATATGTATCAAATCATGCTGCATCCCCAATACAAACAACACTCATAAACACAGACTATTTCTCTAAAACGACTGTAATGAGAACACAGATAAAACATTAGTATGATGAGCAGTTCAAACCTCAGGAACCAAGAGAACATGTCCCAAAGAGAGTTACATTTTAGTGGAAAGAAAGTGCAATCACTGCAGTGTGAGGTGAGCTTCAAATGGAGGAAGAAACAGTGTAAGAATAAAAGTGGAATAGGTCAGTGAGAGGGACAAGGCTCCACCAGAGAGAAGAGAAGGAGTTAGGGAGTTAGGAGCTGGGAGTTAGGAGGCAGAGGGAGCGCCCTCTGCAGGAGCAGTGGCTCTGTACTTACTATCCCTGGGAATTTGGGACTGTCTGTGGGACTGTGGTTAAAGCTGCCGCTGAGGCTAGTGGAGACTGTGTGTGGCCTCTTGAAAGCTAGACCCATGGCGTCCATGGACTGGCTCCTGCTGCGGATCACCCGCTACAGAAAGACATGAGGAGAGACGATGAGACAGACCCTCTGACAGAGAGCAGAGGCAGCAGAGCCCGAGGGTCCTCCACTGTCCACTGCAGTCACTGCACTGATGCTAATCTTGACAGACAAGGAAAGCCCCAGACACAGCTAAATCTCAATGCCACAGGGTTTCTCACAGTCATTATATTTTGCCAGGTGAGAGAGAAGAAGACGGAAATAAATCACAGATGTTGGTACAGCACTGGAGGACCATGTGACTTTTACAGATGAGGAAAGAACAGGAGATGTGCTGTTATCTGACAAAGAGGATCTGTGCCCTTTCAAGTGGACACATCACTGAGGAATGACAGTGACAGTTTGCATCAATATGTGGCCAGTGCAGCTGGATAAGAGGGCAAGAGCACAGCACAAGCACAGCACACAATGAGCTGTGAGACACCCAAGAGCCAGGAGCAGCCAGCTCAGCAGGAAGTGTCTATGAGGCAGGGGATGAAATGACAAGTATGCAACATCATCATGGAAAAGACAGATCAACACCAAGAGATGAAATATTAAAGCTTTCAGCTGTTTCACTGTCTCATGCTTGGAATCATGTACATTTTTATGCAAGAACTCAAAATGAAGGTGAAACATTTGGAAAAACAATTACCTTAAAAGATTCAAAGAAGCCCCCTCCTCCACCACTCCCGTTCTCCAGTTTGTCATCGTCCCCTCCGACGCCCATCATGGCCTGGCTATTCATATGGAGCTCCTCATACAGGGTTTCTAACAACGCAGACCGTGTCCGCTCCTGAATAGAGACAGGGGTGCAATAGTAAAAGACAGAAGAAATACATATAATACATGTAAATAAATACATATAAATAAAAAATATAAAAACTACAGAACCCACTTACTTCTAATTTTGAAAACTTTTCTGCTTTGTAACAAGCATACTCTGCATTTATTAACTTAGTGAAAAGGAATTCATGGAATTCAGGACCCTGAAAATATAGAAGAAGAACATAATGAAGAATTTAAAGTACTAGACATAAAGCTTGACCAGTGGAGCTGTGCTCACTTTAGTAAAAACCGCAGGGCTCGGTAGAGCTGGACCAAAGAAAGGTACGTCATCTCTTGCTGTTACTGACACCTACAATAAATTATGATTTAAAAACATGTGTGTTAAAACATCCATTTAAAATGTAAATACAAAATATTTGTATACCTTATATAAAACATTGTCAGAGCAGGGGTTGACCACTTGAACCACAATATAAGCATGAAGAAAGTTAGATGCAATCATGTCTGGCACAAATGGAGTGTTCTCCTCTTGAAATACAATGGCCACAATATCATTCCCTATGTGCCTCTTTCTTTGAAGCTGCAAAAATAAAAAACACCGTTTTAAATAAATATACAAACATTTTTATCTAGGTGGTCCTCGAGTAAACACAAAAGTGAACTATTTTCTCTTTACATGTTCAAAGCAACCGCAGAAAGAATTCTGAAGTAACAGTACATCTGAATGAATGTATCTTCTCCTGTATTCAGAGCGTGTTTATTGCAGTGATCTTTAGCTGGAGCATGACTCATACCACCAGGGAGAGCTGTTCCCCATTTGAACGGCTCAAAGCATCTGCTGAACGAGCCATCCAACACACAAATACAATGTTTCTGTCTGAGCGCTGTGACAGTGTGCGGGCATGTGCAAATGAATGAGTGTGAAAATGTAGGACAGAGCAGAGGAGGTCTTTATGAATGTGGGCTGCTGTTTCTATATGCACATAATAACCCGCAGTGATTCACCAGTCTGTTTATTTATGCTGTTTTATAACCTATAGTAAACATAACCAGTGATGGGAAAATACGTATACTTCCATTGTGTAACCTGGTACATAGTTCAACCAGAGTACTGTATTGTGAATACTTTCACATTAAGTTGACTTATATTATAGTGAGAAACCTGACATTTATTTATTTAAATGTTTTTCTTATTAATACCTAATACATTAATACCTCTATAAAGTGACTGTGTAACTGCATGTGAATTCACGCAGAAACAACTAGCTATACAGAACAGTACTAAGAAAAGGTTTGTTTATGTAAAAAAGGTTAAATTAAATGCAGGATTTACTCCTAAATCTTTAGCTAATTCACTCTCTACTTTCTCCTTTCTGCTGTATAATTTTTCGACTACTACAAATTTTGGTTGAATAAGGGACCATCTACCTAAACAGCAAAAGTACCATAGCCCTATTCCCAACACTGAACATAATAGACTGAATCCTAGATTGGTGATTGGTGAGTTTTAGCACTGACCTGCTGCGTGTCTCCCTCTGTATAAGGTAGCTTTGTCGACACATGGAACATCACTTCCTTGTTGCGGTAGTTGCAGTAGATGGATTCTGTCCCAGTTTGCCCATGGGTAACATCAAGACCCCCTCGGAAACTGCCACACACATTCATACAAAAACGTATATGGTATAAGCATGTCTAAGAGGATATCCTGAGTGTGGCAGCACAAGCACGACTGTCACTGCACGGTAAGCCTGATCCAATGTGACATGGTGCTTCTAACATGTGCGATATGTGGCAGATGCTTCAATGCCCTGAAACTATAAAGCGTATAGAAGTGTTACCCTTTAAAGTTATGCAGCTCAATCTTTTCTCCCAGAAATTCCAGAAATTCGACAAACGCAGGGCTCTCATGCGTGTTGCCAAATAGCTCCTCTTCTGATGTCTGAAAATAAAAATAATAATTTATGTTAAACTTTGTTATTCAAGTAGGGGAATTCATCTTCATTTGATTCTTCTTTTATAGGTTAACCTGTCAGGAGAAGAAAGCAGTCAGAAGCCTATTTTATTTTATTATAGGTTAATGTGGGGACTAAAAGAAGCAAACGGAAGGCAGCCAGGCATAAAGATGAGACGAGTGGTTTGTGTACTCATGCATCAACCTGAAGGTGGGAAGTTTGGGTTGGTAAATTTGGAGCAAATTCTGACGGTGTTTGTTGTGAAAACATATTAGGAGGATTAAACACCTTTATGCTGTGATGCTAAAAACCACCATTGTACACATTGTCCATTTGCATTTAAATATACATTCATGTCAAGCTAAAGCATTTACAAAAAAATATAAGTTTAAAAGAGAGCCACTGAGGGTGTTTATCTAAAAATAAAGCCTTGATAGACACTGCATTGTCTATAGCAGCCCATGAAACAAAAGACATCAGCTTGGGAACATTTCTTTTTGTTTTCCAAGGCCTGGTTGAGGATGTTTTTCTGTACATATCTCCATTTAACCCCTAGAAAGACAGGCACAGGCCAGTCTCACGAGGTGACCTAAAGTTTATGTATTTCACTTCATTGTAAACTCACATGGCCTTGGAGAGATCTTCAGGCCTGCTCTGAATACTGTGGTTACAAAGACAAGAGCCCTCTGAGCATTCAATTGCTCTTATGCTTCCTGTAGCGTAGTAAACAAACAAAGCATGATTGCCTGAGAGGAGTGACAAGGGACAACCCAGGCACAGAGGAGGAGACTGGACCCACAGCCATAATTAAGACTCAACTCTTCTTATGGAAATCACATGGATGGATGCATGTATTATAGTTTATGTAATAGGCAAAGAACAATAACAGGGTATAGTGCACTGGGTGTTTGTACCTTAAGTCCTCCTCCTCCAAAGCTCTGTGCTCAGTTTCAGTAAATGCAATTAGTGTTTGTTATTTTCAAATTGCAGATAATGACTTAATAATATGATAATTTCATAGGGAATATCTAAAAGGAGAATCAACAAAAGGTGGTCCTAAAGCGTATCAGTATTTGCCTGTCCAACATCCAAAGATCCTACATTACACTAAATTGACTAAGCCATGTTAGAAAGGTGTTATTTCATGAAAAATATACTTGGAGTTGTGTTTTGTTTTATTCACACATGAGTAATCCTGTATTAGTCTGTCTACATCTATAAAGCTCAAAATACTCTTTTCCATGTTGTAATGTCATGAAGCGGTAGTTTTCAACTTGACAGCCATCTTTTATCTTAAGTTTAGTAGAGATTCACAATTCCTCATCTGAAATTATCCAATTGATTCTATAGAAGGTATATGGAGTTTAAAAACACAGTGCTGCACCTGTATTACAACATGACATCACAAGGTAGAACAGAGTGGTTTCAGTTTGAGAGATTTGTGGGTTAAACATGTACAAATTAAGTAAAACACAACAATTCATTTTATATTATTCATAACATCAAAAAACAAGCCATATTAAAACTGAGACTAAACTGGGCCTAAATGTGGTCTAGACCATGTTTAAATCAGGACTAAAACAGAACCAAACTAGAATACATCAAAACTAAACTGGGATTAAACGAGGACAGTCCCATGTGTGATTTATCATGTAACAGTTTTTGATATGATCACAATACATACGACTGAACAGCACCTGTCCAAACTTTTGGTAGATGATTCCAAACTTGAAATTGTTGCTGATCACATGTTCATCAAAGGTCACAATGAGTCTTGAAGCCTTTGAAAAAAATAAAACACTGTTAAATGTAAATTCAAAATAGTTATAATGAAAATGGAAATAAAATGGCTAGAGAAGTATCTTACTTTGGGGTAAAGAACAGGGTAAAAGCGATCCACATTGACCTCTTCACAGACAAGCTACAAGAGAAAAGCAACAGTAAATTCTAAATAGTAGTATTTTTAGCAGTTCAGTTTTTATATATTATGTTTTGTTTGTTTGTTTGTTTTTATTTGTTTGTTGTTTGTTTGTTTTTTACAAAATAAGAATAGTATAGTGATTTGAATTTCATTTTACAATTGGTTTTATGCCATTTAAGAAAAACAGCTTTGCCTGGAATGTTCCACAGTATGGCATTATCTTTCTGCATTCATTCAGTAATATGTCTTCTAACCCTTTCAACTCCTCATTTTCATAGGAGTGGAATAGTTTAATGCCATACTGTGGAATATTACAAGCAAAGCTATAGCATTTCCGTGGAAACAAGCAAGTGGAGGACAATAAACCAAAAAAGTTACATATTACAGCTTTAAGTGATGTTCCTATATTGTCTAGTATAATCAAAATAACCATGCTGTAGACAAAAAAAAAAAGTCACCTTAGCCATTTGCACCACATTGGGGAACTCTGTGAGGCAGGAGATGGGGATGACATCATGGTATGTTTTCAGCTTGGTCCTGGACACAGACAAATCCAGTCCATTCAAACAGGGCATGTGGCATTATCCTCCCTTTAGCCTCTTGTACTCCCTCTCATCCCCACCCACTCACATCTGCCATACAAACAACTCTAGTTCACTTTATGACACTTGCAATAGCACAACTGCTGTACGGAAGTGAACCTAGTCAATACTGAGCAATCTGTAGCACAAATAGCTTTCTTGTTCCTATTTGCAGAGGAAGACAGGTACATTAGCAAGGGAACAGAATTCAAAGGGCATATGTGACATTTTGGAGAGATGTCACATGCAGTGTTACACAGTATAGCAAGTGAATGCATTTTAAAATCTATAATGAAAAAAGGTGGAAATATTTTGTGACGTATACATGTTTTGGTTTATAATTTAACTGTAGATTCAGATATGGCATTAGTGTGAATGTCTCAAATTGCACAAGAAGGACATGTTTTTAAAGGGCCCATATTACACTATTCTCTGATTTATGTTATCTTGTTTCCTCGTCAAAAACAGACCTGGAGTTGTGTTTTGCTTCATTCACACATGTTTAACATATAAATCCTCCATATTTAGGCTGAGTTCTTCTCTCAAACAGAAAACACTTGTGATGTCACTGTGGTCATAAAGGAAGTGCTTCACTGGGTTTTTAAACTCCAAACACCTTCACTAGAATCATTTTGACAATTTCAGCCCTGGAATTGCCAATCTACTGAATTACAGGTAAAAAGTATACCTTGAAAAGTACCGGTTCATGACATCACAAGATGGAAAAGAGCATTTTAAGCATTGGAGATGCAGACAGACTAATAATAAAGGGTTACTCAAACATGTGTGAATGAAACAACACAACCCATAATTGCCCATAATTATAACATTGTGTAAAGCTCACAGCAGTTCATTTTGTGTAATATAGGACCTTTAATAAAGTAGTTATTCAAGCAAATGTGGTCATCTACCATATAGCTACTTATCTGTTACTATAGCTACAATGTACAATTTGCAACATCTTTCTTGATTATTTGTCAAACCCTTTTTCTTGTTGATGTTTGCTTTATTAGATAATATAAAATCATTGTCTCTTTCTAACCGTACCTGAGCATTAGCCGTAGATGCTCCTGATCTCCAATCTCATCGTATTTTAGTGAGAAGACCAGATGTCCAAGAGCGGTGTCGACTGAATAGTAATTAAAGTGTTCCTGGGGACACAGAGCGAGAATAGTCATTAGTGTCTGAGTCTGATACACAAAGAATATGAGAAAGCTCCACTGATCCACCATTGTCCTGCACTACACAAAGAAAAATCGAAATTAGTTTAAAAGGGCCTCTTGTTCTAAATTGTTCTATAAATAAAACTGAATTGAATGATCTGATTCTAAAATTGTTTGGCTAAATTAGATTTAGTTAGTCAGTATAGTCAATATAGTACATTCAAATTAATCAGCCAACTAAATAAATTAATGCTACTACACTGGAAGATGCTTGCTATATATGTTGAAACTAGTTAGAAAAGGCCCAATAAAATAAATTCAATCTAGTCAATGTTATTAATGAACTAGTTACTATATAAATTGAAGCCTTGACTTGTAAATAAGTCTGGTGGCGTCTCCTGTTTATCTCAGTGTAAATTGCTGAGTTTAATCACATACAGTGGAACATTCCTAGTAAAACAAAGTGGTGGCCCCTCCACCTGAACAGGTGCATAAACCAGTAACTATAAATAATAACTAGTAATTGAAGGCCCTATATCACACATAATTGACTGATAATTGATATTGCTTTTATTATTAGTTTGTCTACATCTCCAAAGCTCAAAATGCTCTGTTCCACTTTGTGATGTCATGAAGCAGGAGTTTTCAACAGTTACATTTTACAGCTACATTTTACCTATTGTTTAATTGAGATTGACAATTCCAAGGCTGAAATTATCCAAATGATTCTAGGGGTGTAGGGAATTAAAAACACAGTGGAGTATTACTACATGACATCATGAGGTCGTGTGTTTTCTGTTTGAGAGAAGAACTCAGTGTGTTAAACATGTGTGAATGAAACAAAACATAACTCCAGGTATGTTTTTGATAAGGAAACAACATTATAACAAAAATCAGAAAATAGTGTAATATGGAACCTTTAACTGTAAATTTAAAAAGTCATTAAAACTAGCATTCTTTCTTTATTTAATTTAATTTAATTTATTTATTGTATTTATTTTTATTTATTGATTTATTTTGCAGCGTACACAGCTCAACAGTTTGCATGTCTCCCATCTCACAGCAGATCACATTTGTTCATATTATGCATGTGTGAGAACAGGTGGCCCCAGCCTGAATGCATCTTCATTAGGAACAGGAGTACAGAACGCTAAAGAAGAAGGGCTGATCACTGTTAGCCTGTCTCCCGAGGGACACTTACAGCTAATCAGTTCATTACAGTATGGTGAAAGAGCCAGAGAAACTGATCATAAGTTCACCCCGAAAAATAATAAGGAAAAAATAAAAAGGAAAGAGGAAAGAGGAAGGAAGGTTTCATGTTTGGTTATGTAAATATAAATAAAAGGGCCTATATAGCACTAATTTTGGCCCTCTGTTAATTTGAGTTTGACAGCCCTAGTCTAGTGTAATCAGATTCCTGACCTAGTCGTTGGAGAGAAATTTAATTGTGCAGAGGCACTAGGTGGCGCAAGCCTGGCTATGTGTTTTCAGCCTGAAAGAAGAATATAGCCTAAATATACAGGGTTTGTGTGTTAAACATGTGAGAATGGAACAAAACATAACTCTAGGTATTTTTCTGAGGAGGTAACAGCATTATAACATGGCTCATGAGAGTTCATTTTGCATAATATAGGTCTGCTCCTATTTGGTGGTCTATCTGTTTATTTTACAGGGGACCCACTTTCATGTCTGATAATAGTTGTGACCCGCTTTTTGATGCACTCTTTGTAACGCATGTAATTTAGTATCTAGACAATTTGAGGTAATTAAGACTATATTTGGACTTTAAATAGGTTTTACCCTATTTTCTCAACCTATTACACTGCCCATAAACCATGCCTTTGTTTTAAACAGAATACAAAGTTAAAAATAAAAGAATATGTTTACTTTAATATTCCCATGTGGACTTACACTGGCTGTGGTATAGATCAAGAAAAAAAAATCAGGAAAAGTCCAACTCTGTATTATTTATGTGATTTTTTTTCAGTATTTATACCTGCCTAAGTACTGATGAATATCTGAGTATTGACTTTTTTATACGGTGTCTAACTACTACTACTACTACTACTACGACTACTACGACTACTACTATTACTAATACTACTAATACTACTAATACTTCTTAATACCTCTGTTCATTGTGATTCTAATTATTTTTCAGATGTTTCAAACAATATTATAACTGCATCTTGTACAAAGTCCATCATATTTATGGTACCAGGATACTCACCTTTCCCAGGAAGTGTTTGCGATAGAGCATGGCTGTTGTGTTACATTCCAGTTTAGTTCTTGTGTTGGGGGACAGCGGTGGCACCTGCTCTGAGTCCAGTGTGTCTGCCACTTCGTGATTGGTTCCTTCGATCCAGTAGCCCCCAAACTGTGGCAGGAGGATAAGAGGAAATGGGCTTTTTTTGCCTAGCACCTGTTGGGGAACACAACTCAATTAAGCTGTTCAAAATATACAAAGTATGCACTAATGAGCTAGACAGCATAGCATTTTACCTCGTGTACACTTGGGTATGGAATGTAGTCCTCTTCTGTCTAGAAATATATTAAAGAGAAAGAAACATGTCTCATCAAGGCATTTTTGAAGGTCAATCCGCCTTTATAATCCCAGACCCCTTACAACATGTCCTCAGAATGTTCAAAATACCGGATGGAGACGACTGGACGCAAATATGAAATGTCTATTATAGTTTCAATTATTAAAGGCGTGTGCCTGATTCTTTCCCATGTATTTGAACAAATGTGTCTGTCCACAGTACAAATGTAAGTAGCTCTTGACGTCAAAATATATCTGCTGCGTGCATTCTGTTTAAAGGGACAGTTTGGAATTTAGTTAGTTAGCCAAAGTGTTGGAGATGTGTGGAGACACTTTTAAAAATATTCCTTCCAGTCCTTTTAATTTCCTTTAATTATAAAGCATTTCATTGTCCGCAAGTTAGCAAGTCAGTTGTCAGCAAGTGTGTGTTATCATGCTAGTTGTTGTTAGCAAGTTGTAAAAGGTGCTTGTAAACTCACAGTAAATAATTAGGATGCTCAGAATGTTTTTAAGACAGTAAAAGTCAGTTACAACACCAAACTGACATCAGATCTGAATTAAAATAATGAAATTTAAGGATTTCTAACACAAAAAATCTGCTACAATTTTTAAATTTTCAGTGTACAGATGTCAGTTATTTTTTTCTTGTTTACCATTAAGAATGGAAACAATATAATTTAATAGCATCAAAGTTGTATTTGAGCTAAAGTAATTTCACTGAAAGTATAATTTGTGGTAAAGGAGGTTACAAATCTTGAAAAAACTATTATGAGGACAACATTTTTGTCAACATTTGTCTAGGAGTAGTAAAAATCAAGATTCTGACTTCAAAAATGCTTTTGTCCCATGTATATGGATTGTAGCAACATTGGTCTTGCCCCAGCACAGATACAGTATATTGTGCAAAAGAATCTTTTGAGGTCACAATTTGTCTGGTGTGTACTATCTGCATCTACTTATAAGCCTTAAGTTTATCACTTATGTAGTTACAATGGGGAAAAACATCATGTTTTACTTCACTTTTGTTTTTGTTTACAAACTTAGGGTCTTTCAGAATATTTGCTATAGTAACTGTTGCATCATACAATCCAAGCATATAAAATCAAAACTGAGATATAGGCAGCCTTGATGTAAATTGAAATGTTTCTTTTCCATGTGCTTACAAAGATGCTCCTGGTTAAGTATCTCACAGTGTAATGAGCTGCATAGGGCTTGTGCAGCTGTTGCAGTGAGATATGGAGCAGCGGAGAGGAGGTGATGAGCGTGTCATGTGAATTGTGGTTCACAGAGAGAGACCAACCTTGAGTGGGGGAGGAAAGGTGCATCTTTGTTCATCCATCCTGTTACCCTACATGAAGAGAATGTATTTAGTCATGTGTATAACAGTGGAATTAAGACACAAGAGGTGCTATAGCAAAAAGCTGGGACATTGCGTAGGGAAAAAATAAAACATCAAGCAAGTTTATATTGAGTCTTTTCAAATAGTCAATGATCATTTTGGGTCTTTAGAATGGAGAGGTCTAGAGCCAGTCCTCTGTCACAAAAAATATGTGGTTTGGAGAACAGATCAAACTTTGGAGGAAAAAAATTGATATTTTTGATTTAGATGCCAGATAAAAAGTTGTATAGTGAATGGGAATTTTTTCCTTTTGCAACCATGTATTTTGCCCAAGAACACAACAACACTGACAGGGAGAGGATGAATCAGCAACTCCTTAGTTAGTTAGTTAATACTTAAACCCACTCTAAGTCACCCCATTTCTTTTGCCTTGGTCAGGTGTATTTACTTATTACACATTGTCCCAACTTTGATATTTTAACATACAAAAAGAAGATTAAAGTGAGTTACAAACGCAGTGCAATTCAGGTAGAGAAAAGAGAGCAACACACTGCATTATATAAGAGTTCCCAGTAGATTTGAGGCAGGCTACAAAGCATAATCAGACAGAAATAGATGAAAATAGCCCATATTATTCACAATGTAGTTTCATAGCAAAGTTTAATACAGTGAATTGAGCTATCAGAGAGAAGAGATAAGTAACAAGACCAGAGGGATTTAAGAGACAGCACTCCTACACTGAGACTTTAAGTGTGAAATGAAGAGAATCATGCAATAATAATTCAGTCAAAGAATAGACAGGTGCAGCGTTCACCAATAAACCAAGATGTATGGCTGCATATGTATGTTTGAATTAATAATTTAGAATCAAAAGCTATAACTTATTAAAATATATCTTGAGAATTCTCCAAGTTTCTCATAGAAGCTGTCAGAAAGCAGGACATCTCCAGGACATGGGATAATGAGCTTACAGAGGCTGTCAGTTCTGCATTACAAGCTGAATGTTAACACAAAAATGCACACCTCTCTTCTGTGTAAGCAAGTCAAAAACAACTTCTGACAACCAGTGAAAGGCAAAACAGTTAGGCATAGGTGTTAGTTGTTTAGTATGTTCACACGAGATCAGTTAGTTAAAATGACTTCACTTTGAGATATTTACATTGATTTGAGTATATTTACTACAACTAAAGGGATACTGTGTAGGTTTTTAGTTGGAGGGTCAGAAACCTTCCAGATGTTCTGAAATCTTCCATAGCATGGCATAAAACATACTAAATTCCTACGGAGACAAGCAAGTTATGCCACAAATAAAATTACCAGTAAAACATTGTAATGGGATAGATGCAAGATATAGGTTTAATGCCATACTGTGGAACATTCCTAATCACATGACAGACCTCCACCAGAAAGCATACACATGTGTACCTTTAATGACTGGTTTCAAGTATTTTTGTTCACTAATTAAAAAAAAAAAAAAAAAAAAAAAAAAGATCTCTGTCAATGGGGTCAGAACTTTAATAGCAATCATATTACACTGAACAAATCCAATCTTGTCTGAAATTTTACTCAAATCAAGATTGACATTATGAGTTTCAGTCATTTTAACTAATGTGATTATTCTATTCTGCAGAGCAGCTAAAAGCTTTTCTTTCGATGGCTTACCTGCATCCTCGCAATCATTTCAAATAAATCAGGGGTCTGGGGAGAGGGAAGATACACTGGCTTGAATTTGCTTGGTTCTGGGTGGATACTTTGTGTTGGAAATATAAAATTCATGTATGTTTGGTGCTTATGATCATAAGCTTTTCGTAACCGTGTTTGAAACGTAAATATGATGTGGGTGTGTTGTTTTAAAATGTCAGCTCTTGTCTCAACAAACTTAAGAAAAAGTACACACAAAGCAAGCAGAACATCGTGACTCCTCACAGATCTGTGTATGTGTGGGTAGGATACTGTATTATAAAAGTGCAAGTCAACATTTTATCTTGCTAGAAGTTTAAAAAAGTGGGCAAGTGTATGGTTTTGGGAGGTCAGATGGGTCACAGCATCTCCAAAACAGCAGTTCTTGTGGAGTGTCCTTGGTTTGCAGCGGTCTGTATCTATTAAAAGTGGTTCAAGGTTGGCCTGTGATGGTCCAGTCCAACTATTAAGCTACTGTGGTAAATGCTTGGGCACATATTGCATGATCAGAAAATAGTGTAATAATGGGCCCTTTGACTAAATATGAAAACAATGACTTAACCAGGGGGTAGTAGCACAAAGGAGTAGAGCAATAGAAACCATATTATTAACACATAATATATAGGAAGTTGGTTCCGATAGTTTGTCTGGTGAGGTGTCAAGTATTAAAGGAGGTTGGTCATAATGTAATATCTGCAAATAATGAGTGGGGGATATGTCGGTGAATGTATAAAAGTGTAGTGGTTGTTTTGGAAATATCTGTAATGAAAACAATGAAGTATGAAAAAGCAGCTCACAAATACTACAAACTTAAGGTGCATCATATTTTTAACTGTCTGTTTACATTTGAATAATTACACAGCCTGTCAAAACTTTTGACACCCTTTAGTTCAGCGTATTTTTCTATATGTTTTACTTTCTACATTTTAAATACCTACGGAAGACATCAAATATACAAAACAAGATATATGGAATTATGTAGAAAAGAAAAAAGTTAAATAACTCAGCTATTAAAAATATATATTTTATATTTAAATAAATGTAGCCATCCTTTGCTTTTTTAACACTGCTACAAACCCTTCTCTCACTGAGCTTTATGATGAGGTCTCCTGAAATGGTTTTCACTTCACAGTTGTGCCTTGTCAGGTCAAGAAATGCCAAAAGCACAAACCAGGGTTCAAAGCAAAGGGTGGCTATTTGTACAATTTTAAAAATCTAAAACAAGTTTGGAGTTATTTTGAGTTTATTTTTTGTTTGCTATATTCCATTTGTGTTATTCATAGTTTTGATTCTTTCTGCAATGTAAAATAATCACAAAGTACTTTGTAAAGTAAAGAAGAAAAATAAATGAAAACGTGTTTTGACTGGTAATGTACTTCCACCTAAACCAAGAGATGAACATGCATGTTTCAAAATATTTCTGGTAGATAACATGGTCTGAATACTGTCATTAAGATAATCGCCAAAAATACTCAGATTTCTTTTTTGTCAATAATATCGCTCACCCCTAGAGAGAATATTACACCCTAAAACAGAATACTATGGTTGTTATCAGTCCCTTAAGGAAGAAAGGTTTTAACCATGATCCTGATAGTGGCTTTGTGTACACAGCAATCCAGCCTATGCTTTCAGTCACTTTGAGTAACGTCCTCCACCAAGAGCAAACAACAGAGCCCCACAAACCCTAAAGGTAAATAAACCTGTCTTAAATGGCATTAAACACATAATAGAAAAATACAACGTACTTCGACATAAATGTTCACTTTAATTCTAAATAATAAAAACATTATAAAGTGTTAAGTCAATGTGCAATGTGTATGTTTTCAAGTTTTTGGAGCATTAAAATATTATTAGAATTTCTTTTAAATCTGAATATTCATGCCAAAAAAGCTACTTACACGTTTTGATGTCTTGGGAGCACTGATGTCTGGTAAATTAGCCATAGCTGAGTTCAGTTCAGTTGCTTTGAATCTTTCAAAAGCACGACTTGGGTCTAGTTGTGTAGTGCCTCCTTATCTATGCCAGTCATTTTGAGACACTGTCAGAGCAGATCCTGTGCTCCTCTGAACATTCAGGATCATCAACAACTGGCAGGTGCATGGCTCAGGTTTCACACAGAGCTGCTGCTGCTGCCTTGGCAAAAAGTCAACCTCTGCTCCTCTGCTGTTTATTATGTTTATTACTATTTTATTATGGGTCTATATAAAAATAAATATAAAGAGGTGACAACTGGATACAAAATTAAATTTGGACTTTAAAGAAATGTATTGTGTTAGATTGACTTATCATTCAATACATGACAGCTCAGACAGTTATTCAAATTTATCATGGGCACTTTTTGCTTTGTACTAGCGGTAATGGTGATAGTAGGTTTTTTTTGTATTTTATTTTTTGTACTTTTCTGAGTAACTTAGTAACTTCTGTGACACATGAAGTGTTTCATTTGTATTGGAGCTCATGTCTATCGGTATCTACCAGAGCTGTATATTTAGAATCTATTTTTGGGAAAATCTGCTTTAGGTTTATCATGTCAGTGGCATAATGGGATTCAATATTATCATTTACTGTTTATATTTTTTCCCCACTATATTATCACAACAGGCCTATGTCAGATATTTAGTTATATATTTAATCATTTTATGTTCATTTAAAGCAAATATTTACATTCTTCTACTTACTTGTACTTCTACTTTTCTACAAAAAAAATTACACTAATTCATTCAAGTTCAACAGCACATGTACATTATTTCCTTTTTGAAAAATTATGTAACTAACTATATAAAACCACAAAAGTTGTTTAGCATATTTTAAGACAGGTGTTTTACCTGTTACAAGTCACATGCATTTTATAGAAGAGTGACAGGATTTTTTTTCATGAAACTCTACAGACAAGATGATCACTGCACAAATGAGTATCTCTGGTATCCACGAGTTTGCAAGTGATGAAAAATGAGCACTGTAGCCATGGTAATTAACAATCCAAAACAAGATATTGTATTTTTAAAATTGTCAAAAGTGCTCCAAATGTTGCCAATAAACAGGAATTAAAAAATGTCAGCAAAAAGACTGTAGTCCACATGTGGTCTGCGCTAATACTTTTCATAGCAAGATGGTGCCTTAACCTTTGCACTGTCTCTTTCCTATGTCCTATTTCAAGCTAAAACACCATGCTTCTTGTGATGTAAGTGGAACTGGCATATCCGACCTCATCCTAAGGAGCGCTGCAGTCAGTACAATCACCTCTGACATTTCTATTACTGGAGCTAATGTAAAGACAGATCACAATAAGAAGAAAATGAAATGCATAATTCTTATTCTCTTCTCCTAACCCTGTCATCGGGCCCTCATTATCAACACTGACCAGCTCCACAAGACAGGAAAACCTACTACCACAAGCTGTTTTCTCTGGAGTACAGCCAGTTTTATACTTTATGGTGCTGTGCTGTTTGATTCTGAGTATACTGGCTTCGGAGAATTAGCCATTGCTCACAAAGTAGAGATCTGACATTTTTAATGAATTGATAAATGTCAGTGCCCTAGTCCTCATGTTTTATCAGGATGAATGATTGGGAGCCTGAGTTCGATATTAAATTAAGAATGAGGCTGTATTTCGACAAAATAGCATAATAAAAGCACAGATGTGTAGAAAGGTTAATATGTTAATACAGCATTTTAAAGAATCAAATGACGCATAGATGCTTTCATGCAGCGTTACGAGAGAGGTGTGAAATTGCATTATATTCGATATAAAAGATGATAAGTACTTTGAATAGAGCCCAGAACCATCCACATGGGTGACGACTCTACCATATATAAGAGTAACGCCTGATTGCTTGGGTAGATAGGATGATTATCGGATGAAACTCCGTCACTTTTATGAACAACAGATTGAGTTCTGTTGGGGGCTGGGTATTGTAGTGCTATAAAAATTATATACTTTGATTTGTTCTTTAATTTATGTAATAAAGATAATATAATTGTACGAATACGCTGTGTTTATGATAGCCTAAGAGCTGCGTTCTCAATAATGTGTTTGAGCATTTTTTAGTCAATACTCAATGATCATAGCTTCTATACCATGTAGAAGTCATAACAAATCAACAGTTTGATGTACACATATTTGATTCTCTCTTAGTGGTTAAGACTCTATAAGGCATATTTTTCATTTGCTCTTAAGATTTAATCATTGGATAATATTTGCGCACGTATCGTTCTGGACTGAGCTCAAATAAGTATCAGTATGGTTTGAGAACTGGACAAATTCCATAATATCCGGCTTATATATACTAGCAAAGGCTTTAGTGGATGTTAGCTTTAGTTAAAGTGAAATATATTCTGAGGATGCCTTTCCATTCAAAAATATATTTAGTTAAAATTATTATGGCAATACACCTACATCTGCAGTGCAGGATATTGATACCACAAAAAGTGTTAGGCTAGATAGAAAACAGCAAGAGGCTTTACTGATAATACGCGCTAAGAATTTAATAATCTCTTCATATTTAATATGAATATTGTTTTGAGTTTTCGAAAGATTTTCCTGAATTGGAGCATCTGGGGTGCACGTAAGAGCACCTCTGTAGGGTTGTGTACTTTTTTAATCTCGATGTCGACATAAACTTATAAAAGAATAGTTTTTGTATCTGAAATTAGCAGAAAGCCATGGAGAGGTTTTACAGTGCAGGATAGGAATGAAGAAAGCTGCTGGAGGTGATAATATGGCGCTAGATTTGACGTCAACTTTAAAACTTGGCTTGTTATCGTTCGCATATATATACGTTGCTTATAATGCAAATATACCGACTGACATGAGATATTCATCGAGTTCTATACGAGCCTTTCTAGACTAAGTTCTAGTGATTTTTATTTCCAGGGCTTTCATAACTATATTGGAAAAGTAATGATGGTATTCAACATGCCCTGGTCGGATTTTGGGGTGATTGACAAGTATTTGGTGCAATTCAACTTACCAATATCGCACTAATTTTCTTGACCAACTACGAAAAGTAGAGATTACGTACTACAAATATATAGTCGTCATGAACTTTCTGTGCAGGGTGTGATGCTAAGACTGCAAGAAATAGCTAATCTGGCTCTGTCTTAATGTGAGTTCGAAAGTGACTCTAAGATTTAACTTGCTACAAAGTTCTGTCTATTTGGATCCATAGAGGTAGAGATTGTCTCAGGCTTTGATTTCAACGCACAAATCTGACGCAGAAGGAACAGCTTAGATGGAAACTACAAGGGCTGAGCCTAGCATATTCTCATGCGTTTTTGGAGGTTTGCTTGGTTTTTTCATTCTGATAGATTCATATATGTTGGTGGTAACATTGATGTAATGACGTGGCCTATATCAAATCGTTACTGTATCAGATGAGAAGCATATATTGGGCTAGGATGTAGATCCATCTATTGAAATAATCAAAATCGGTCGCCTGGCAGGCTAGATATTTGAGTATTCATATCACTGCCTGTGTGAATATGATTTAAGTGTGGCATATTACTAGTATAATCGACTAGAATAATTTGGTCTGATGATTTAATAAACCTGTACATAGACATGTCATCTTCACATGATGAGGTCTTTTTTCTCTTAATATGTTGATTCATAATCTAATAGAACGTTTTACTTGCTATGAGCTTCTATAGAAAGGCATAGGGAGAAAAACTAACATCTGTGTTTAAATGTGTGGCACCTCTCATACTCGTAACTATTTTATGTTTGATTACCTCTCGAGCTGTCAGGATGGAGACTAGCTGGAAATAAATACTGGTTTCTCACTAGGATTTCGGTCTGCTGACAAGAAACTCTATCTAATTCTCTCTGTAAGTTTGCAGATATCCTGTGCTAGGTATCAAAATACCATGATTTGTTTGTTTTTGGTACGGAGCACAACAGGTAATCCACACAATCTAATGTAGAAGATAGAATCATGTGATAACAAGCTTCTTTATTATTTTTTATACATTTAATGAAAAACACAGGACTGAGACACCATTTGACTGTCAATCCTCACGCCTTAAGTCTCATGTCTTGGGTCCCTTTTGTGGACAACACGAACAGTAACAAAGTGCGGTCGCAGATGGATGAAACACGAAGAATGGATATTGCACTGACTTCGGTGAACAAATTGCGAGCTCTGCCCTCAGATTAAAGAGTATTTCATAGAATATGGACTTGCACAACTGAGACTTTTCGGCATTTGATTTAAATTTCTTTTTTATCTAGAGATTCTGATCGCTTTTTAGCCTTTCTCTTCCCTACACGTGTTGTCTGTGGTGTGCATTTACCACCACATTCTACAATGCATGACACATTGCTAATCGCCGCAATTGAGGTTCAGAATTAACAAAAGTAAACGTGCTGGAGCCTCGCTAACAGCAATGAATAGGCATGTAGACACGTATTCTAATGTATCACTATGTTCGCGAGGCGTCCTTAGAATTTGTCTCAGAAAATGCGTCGTTCTCACCACACAGTGAACCGGCTGATGAATCAGGTAGAAATCATAATACTCACACCTTGTCCCTTGTGTATGTTTTCAGTATAATTCATGATGTGATGCAAATAAAACGCTTCATAGTACCTTGTATATTGTTCCAATTGATAGTAGAAAATCTTGAATAACTTTATGGGTGCGAGACGGAGATCTGGGCAATAAAGGCAGTCAGAAGATAGATAATTTAGAATTTTATTAGCAACCTGTTTCTAACGGACAAAAATGGATACAGTTAGCTATTATCAAGTTGCCTAACATACCAGAGAATAGAAGGCTTAACACTGCAGGGTGCCCAACTCTGTCAAGAACATAGATCTTTGTTGGATAATATAAGATTGGCATGGGAGGTGGCAAATGAGATGAATTAACAGATCATGCTTTAAAAGATATTAAAAGTTTTTCTAGGATAATGGGTCTAAACTAATTATAAGCATCTTGTCCTTTTTTTACATGTATCGAATGTAATTCAAGAATTAAATGATATAATTTGGGTAACAAGTTATGTTTTGAGTGTGATAAATGAGACGATGTAGAAGAATACTGTGCCTGAAGGGAGAGTAATAGAGAGATATCTAAAAAAATGACTGATATATCGTAAAAATTATATGGCATAATGTGATGTTAATGATCAGTTTTGATCATAATCTAAATGATTAAATGTAATTATACAGTCAAACAACACAGAGATAATGGCACCACCAAATTGTCAACACCATAACCATGGCCCAAACAACATGCAATCTCTATGGCTCCGTGCTCGAGCCTTATCAAATGTATGTAAACACCTGATGTAGAAACCAACCCTCGGTGGTTAGATAAGACGCACGACGTTTTCCCATGTAATCTCTTACATCTAGAGATTATAAACACTTTAAAATGTCATACCTGAGGGGGAAGGGCACGTCTGCGCGCCTCGCTCTTGCTTAAACCTTCTTCCTTCTCCCATTTTTGATCGGAAAGATCCACCGGTAGTCCCCAATACTTATGATTAGAGTATCATCAACTATCACAAGTACTTCTCTTGTCTATTGGGTTTATATAAAGACCTAAGGGTGGAATAATATTGTTGTCTTATCTGTCTCGATGCTGCACAGATACAAAAATTACCTAACATATGAATGACTATTAGTTGAATGGTACGATATTCAGTGCATATTTTGGTAGATGGATACAACGCAGGATACCGGTATAATATTTTTTGTTTTTTCTCTTCTTATGAATAAAATATTCTCTGCAAAAGACTTG